ATATATATATATATATGTAATAGAACCTTCTAAATATTTATATCTTTCTTGACAAGGAACACAATCTCAAATTGTTCTGATCCATATTGTTTATATTTATTATTATATTATTTATATTATATTATTCATTATTATTATAGTTTCTTAATTGTTCTCTCTCTCTCTCTATATATATATATTTAATAAAACCTTCTAAATATACATATATCTTTCTTGACAAGGAACACAACCTCAAAGTGTCCTCATCCTTATTATTATTTATATTTATTATTATATTATTTATATTATATTATTCATTATTATAGTTTATTAATTGTACTCTCGCTCTCTCTCTCTCTCTCTCTCTATATTTATATATATATAAACCTTCTAAATAAATATATATATCCTTTACAAGGAATAGAACCTCAAAGTGTCCTGATATTTATTATTATTTATATCATCATATATTATTTATATTTATTATTTATTATAGTATTTATTACCATATATTTATCTTATTATCTTATTATAGCTTATTTGCTATATAGAGCCTTTTAAATATATATATATCTTTCTTTACAAGGAACACAACCTCAAAGTGTCCTGATACTTATTATTATTTATATTTGTTATATTATTTATATTATTATTGTTGTTGTTTATTAATTGTACTACACACACACACACACATATATGTAATAGAATCTTCTCTCTCTCTCTCTCTCTCTCTATATATATATATATCTTTACAAGGAATATAACATCAAAATGTCCTGATATTTATTATTATTTATACCATCATATATTATTTATATTTATTATTTTAGTATTTATTACCATATATTTATATTACTCATTATTATTGTTGTTGTTTATTAATTGTACGACACACACACATATACAATAGAACCATATATATATATATATATATATATATATATATTTACAAGGAATACAACATCAAAATGTCCTGATATTTATTATAGTATTTATTACCATATGTTTATCTTATAATAGTGTGTGTGTGTGTATGTGTGTGTATATATATATATATCTTTACAAGGAACACAACCTCAAAGTGTCCTGTACTTATTATTAATTATATTTGTTATATTATATTATTTATATTTTATTATATTATTCATAATTATTATTATTGTTTATTAATTGTACTAAACACACACACATATATATAATAGAACCTTCTATTATATATATGTATATATTATATACCCAAACACATAATCATTTTAAGACACTTCGTAAAATACACATATTAAAACATACCTCCATAAATACTTATAAAAATGCACAAAACAAAAATTAGGCATACAGTGGAGTTTACAATTCATGTTTAAAGTCTGTCTGGGTAGGCCTGCCAAAAGAGATAGCTCTTCGCTTGTATCCTAAATTCTGACAGCTGATTCAGTTGATTGATGCTTCTGTTTGATGCTTTGTTCTATGTTGATACAATTTCTTTGATAGGTTATGTCTTATCTGAATTTTAGATGTTAAGTTATAATTTGTATTTATATATATCAGTTATTATTTTTTGCCATTATGTGTATATTGGTTGTTGTATTCAGGCATTGAATGTTTGCCTTTTTGTGATTGGAATCCGTCCTGAGTCCTTTCGGGGAAATAGGGCGGAAGATAAATGAAGTTCTTATTATTTATTATTTAGCTGTCGGAACTGTACTGACGGTCGTTCCACAGTTGTGGGGTGGCTGATGAAAAAGTCCTCTGGGTGGTGGTTGCCAGTCGGGTTTTGGCAGGCTGGAGCAGACATCCCCCAGAGGACCCCAATGGTCGGGGTGAATTGTACAGGAGAAGGCGAATCTGTAGGTAACCTGGACCCAAACCATATAGGACTTTGAAGGTCAATACCAACACCTTATACATTGCCCAGAAACTTATTGGCTGCCAGTGGAGTGACGTTAGGATCATGGTGATATACTCACTTCTAGATGTTTCCGTAACCATCTTGCTGCTGTATTTTGAACCAGGTGGAGTTTCCGAACTTAGTACAAAGGTAGCCCAATGTGAAGCGCATTACAGAAGTCCAACCTTGAGGTTACCAGTGTGTGCACTACCATCTTCAGGTCCTCCAAATCTAGGAAGAGGCACAGCTGGAGTATCAGTCGAAATTGGTAGTAAGCACTCTTGACTGTCACATCTCCTTAGGCTGACATTTGGAGAGATGGATCCAGGATCCCTTCTCCCAAGCTACGAACACAGTATTTCAAAGGGAGTGTAACCCCATCCAGGACTGGTTGAAACATCTCCAGATTAAGAACCTTAAGGGCAAGCACCTCTGTTTTGTCTGGATTAAGTTTCAATTTGTTTTTCCTCATCCAGCTCATTACCTCCTCCAGGCATTCATTCAGAGGAGACACACTATACTTAGCTGTAGCTGATTTTGAAGGCATGGAGAAATATATGTGGGTGTCATCAGCATACTGATAACACCCCGCCCCATGCCTTCAGATGAGCTCTCCCATTTAGATGAACACCACCCTCCAGAGTTGGACACGACTGGACTTAATGTCAAGAGGAATTCTTTACCTTTTATGAGGAAAGAGAAATGTTATTTCTGGTCCGCAATGGACTCCATTAAGTTTGAGCTATATTCTGAGTTTAATATGTTTTTTGTTCTGCATTATCTGTGTACAGGGGTCTCTCTCCTTTCAGGGGTCTCTCTCCTTTACAACACTTTGCTCTCTTAACAGATATAAATCATAACCATGTACTCTACTTTTAATGCTGGTTTGCTATTTTCAATTTCCTATTCCCCCTATCTGTTAGTTGGCTCAGCAATTCTAGTGTACAGTCTTGGATTTGCAAGCTAAAAATAAAAGTCTGGGTTCCATTTTTCTACGGTTTTTAGTTTTAGAGAGTGCCTTGGTCCCTAGTAAAAGTAAAGGTTTGCCTCTAATATTAAGTCTAGTCGTGTCCAACTCTGGGTGTTGGTGCTCATCTCCATTTCAAAGCCGAAGAGCTGGCATTGTCTGTAGACACCTCCAAGGTCATGTTACCAGCATGACTGCATGGAGCACCGTTACCTTCCCGCCGAAGCAGTACCTATTGATCAACTCACATTTGCATGTTTTCGAGCTGCTAGGTTGGCAGAAGCTGGAGATAACAGTGGGAGCTCACTCCACTCCCTGGATTTGAACCGCCAACCTTTTGGTCAGCAAGTTCAGCAGCTCAGCAGTTTTTTTTCTTTTAAAAAAATTAATTTTATTTAAGTAGACATACATTTGCAAGTGTTTGTTGCATACAGTGCAATACTTTCTATCTATTAATGTTCCATAATCTTTTATCTCATAATATATTTCCATTAAGGGGTCACGGTCTACTATCTAAATAATATATATAAAAATATCATAGACTCTTACTTTACATCCGCTTCTTCCTTGTCTACAATCTTATAGGATCCTCTATATACATTTTTAGTTTAATTTTACATTTAGGTGTTGAATCATTGGTTGCCATTCATTAACAAAGTTATCCAATAGTTCTCCTCTTAATAATACAGTTATTTTGTCCATTATCAGCATATCTATAATATATTTTTCCCATTCTTCTAAAGGAGGTATCTCTGGGCTTTTCCAATACCACTCGAGCTGCCACTGTTGTATAAAATATTTTTTCCCCAAATTTTCTTTCTAATTCTTCCTCAGGCATATTCAGAAGGTACATTTGAGGTATCATTTTGAAATTTGTGTTTAACATTTTTTCAAGATATACATGGATCTGTTTCCAGTAATTTTTTACTTTGCTGCAAGTCCACCATGTGTGGTAGAATGTACCTTTTTCTTTCCTACATTTCCAACATTTGTTGGAACAGCAGTTTAACCCGCTGCACCACTGGGTCCCTAACCTATCAAATAATTAAATACTGATAACATTAACAATGGGCATCGAGACATTGTTACACTGCAACTTTTATCAGTCCAACAATATCTGGAGGAGCGGTATTCAAAGTTACTTTAAAAACTTATCTAGGTGTTGTGTTTTGTCTCTTTTTTTCAAGAATATGTAGAAAAACCCTTAAAGCTTGTCTTAAAAGTGGGAGGTAATGAAGTCGCAGAACTTTCTACTCAAAGCACAGTGCATGACCCATCCCACTATGAAGATAAAGACGAAAAACACAAAGACAAGAAAAGGAAAAAGAGGAAAAAAGCAGAAAAGCAAGCCCCTGGAGAGGAAAAGGAAAAAAGGAAGAGAAAAGTCAAGGTAGATTTAAATAGCTGTTCCTTGTGTGCATGGATAGGACGGTCATTGAGGCAGTCCTTGAATATGAAGTAAAGACTCTGATGTTTAGTGAGATGATTCTGTTATATAAAATGCCAAAAGAGGGGAAATTTTCAAGCCAGAGATCAGGTGTGGGCAAACCTTTTAACTTGAGGGCCGCATGACGGGCTGGAGCGGTGTGCGCAGGTCAGGAAAGGGGTTTTTCTCCAAGTTCCCTCCTTGCCCTTTCCTCTTCTCCCCTTCCTCTTCTCTTTCAGAGGCAGGAAGTGATGGAAAGATGGGAAATGTTTGGATCCCAAAAGGGTTGGTCTTGGTCAGGATGGGATGGTCTGTGGTATGTGTGTAAAATGCCATGTGCTGATTTCCTGAATGTTATGGAAAAAATTTAATACAAAGCTCTGACTGTAAGCAGTGGAAAACAGGCAGAAATAGCATGTCTATGTGTATTAAGATATGTAAATGAATTTGTACTTAATGTCAAAATTAACTGATTAATTGAATGTACACGTCATGTACACGTCAAAAATATTGGTACCTGATTATATCTGTCATGATTTGCTTTTCTGTTATGTACCATAATCAAAATAAACAGTTTTAACAAACAAAAAAAAAAAAAAGGATGGGATGGTGGACGGGAGATAAAAAGTGTATCCATTAGACCCCACATTGCCTACTCCTGATATAGAATCCTAGAGCTGGAAGAGACCCCCAAGAGCCTTCCAGTCCAACCCCCTGCCATGCAAGAAGGCACAATCAAAGCACTCCTGATAGACAGCCTCTGCGGAAAGAGAAGGAGACTCCATCACACTCCCAGCCAGCCTATGCCACTCTCCAACAGCTCTTATTCTCAGGAAGTTCTTCCCAATCTTTCCCGTCAAATTTATTTATTTATTTACAGTCTTTATATACCGCTTTGCTCACCCCAAGGGGGACTCAAGGCGGTTTACACATAGATAATGGCAAAAATTCAATGCCTTACAACTACAGTAGTAAAACCACACTTTAAACATAAATCATATTAAAAACAGTACATCACCAAATATCAAAACAGTTATTAAAACCATAAACAATCTCATCAGTCAAGTCGCCGTTCCAGTCCTTGTCCCACTAAAAGCTTCATACATCTATTGTCCGAAGACCTGGTCTCAGAACCATGATTATTTTTTTCTAAAGGTCAGGAGTGAGGGATCAGATCTTACCTCCTTTGGGAGTGTGTTCCATAGGCGGGGGCCACAGCCAAGAAGGCCCTGCTCCTCGTCCCCTTAAAGCTTAAATCTCTTTCCCTTCAATGTATTGTCAAAGGCTTTCATGGCTGGAATCACTGGGTTGTTGTAGGTTTTTTGGGCTATATGGCCATGTTCTAGAAGCATTCTCTCCTGACGTTTTGCCTGCATCCAGGCACTAACAAGCCACACCAAACAACAGCCAGACCATCAAATGCTAATCAAGGCGGCCAGTTGAAACATTCACACCTAGCTTCAACAGACAAGAGTTCTTTGTCCCACCCTGGACGTTCCACAGATATATATACCCAATTTTCCTAGCTCCAACAGACCTCACAACCTATGAGGATGCTTGCCATAGATGCAGGTGAAACGTCAGGAGAACATGGCCATATAGCCCGAAAAACCTACAGCAACCCACTCTTTCCCTTCCATTTGAAACAATTGCTCCCTTGTGTCCTGGTCTCTAGAGCAGCAGAAATTCAGTTTTCCCTCTCCTCCTCCTCCTTAATGGGACACCCTTTTAAATCATGAATCATGGTTCTCATGTTCCCTCTCTACCTTCTCTTCTCCCAGGTAAACATTCCAAGGAAGAAAGGAGGAAGGAAGAGGGAGAAGAAAAGGAAGGAAAAAGGAAGAGTGGAAGACAATGGAAGGAGAGAGGGAGTGAGGAAACAGAGGAGGAAGGAAAGACAAAAGGGAAAGGAGGAAGGAAGGAGGAAGAGAGGGGAGGAGGGAGGGAAGAATGAAAGGAAGGGAAGGAGGGAGGGAGAAAGAGAGAGGGAAGGAAGGGAAGGAGAAAGGAAAGAGGGAAGGAAGAATAGGATGGTGAAAGAGAGGAGGGCCTCAAAAAAGAGCACAAGGGGGCCGCATCCGCTCCCCACGTATGGGTTTGCCCATACCTTACATAGATAGTGAAGTCTGTGGATATAGAATCTGTGGATTTTGGGGACTGACTGTACCTTCTTTGCATGCAAAAGATCCCTTGTTTAGTCGACTGGGAATGAGAAGAATGTCAAACTTGTTTTCTGTTGCTCCAGAGATGAACAAATGGATTCGGATTACAAAAAAAAGAAATTATCTCTAAAGATTAGGATACATTTATTTTTATCGTAAGATCTTTTTGATGACTCTTAATAGATTTCCCCCATCTCTAGACATCTTTAAACAGAGGTTGGGTGAACATCTTTCAGAACAAATTTAGTTGTACATTTTTGTATGGCAAGGAGGTTGGACTAGATGGTCTTTGGGGTCTCTCCCAACTCTATCTAGGTTATAATCTGGAGGGCCAGTTATAACCCAGATAATGCTTGGTTAAAAAGAAAAAAATAGCTTTGACTTGGTGTAAAATACCTTCTTTGTTTGCTATGGATCCAAGGCCTTTGTTAAATATAATAAACTAGCTGTGCCCTGCCACGCGTTGCTGTGGCCTATAGTAAAACTTATCAAAGTTGAGGTAGATATCTGGACTATTATGAAAGAGAGGTCCCTACCTATTCCTTCCCCCTTTTCCTCCCCCTTTCTCTCCTTTCTTCCTTCTCTACCTCTTTCTTTCTTCACTACTTGGTTTCATCCTTCTCTCTTTCCTTCATTCCCTCCCCCTTTCTTCCTTTGCCTTTCTTCCCTCCCTGTTTGCTTCCTTCTTTCACTTTTTATTTCTTTTTATTTTACCACCATCATAACAATAACAATAATGCAATGCATTGCCTCTGGGACCTGACACCTCTCCCATTCCTCCAGGGTCTCATAGGAACAATAGCATAATAATAATAATAATAATAATAATAATAATAATAATAATAATAGAAATAACAACCTTTACCCGCCACGTGTTGCTGTGGCCAATCTTCCCTCTTTCTCTCCTTTCCCTCCTTCCTTCCTTCCTTCCCTCCCATCTTTCCTTCTCCTCTTCTTTCTCTATCTCTTTCCTTCCTTCCCCCTTTTTCTTTCTTTTCTGCTGTCTCTCTTTTCTTTCCTTCCATCTTTCCTTTTCTTTCCTTTTCTTCTTCCTTCTTTCTCTAACTTTCCTTCCTTCCCCCTTTTTCTTTACCTCCCTTTCTCTTTTTTCCTTCTTTCCTTCCTTCCTGTCTTTCCTGGATTTTGACAGGGCGGGAAGGGGCGGGGTGGGGTTTGGAGGTGGCGTGAAGTAAAAGGAGGTAAGATTGGGGCGGGGAAGTGATGGAGCGTGGGGTTGCGTGTGTGTGTGCGGCGGCGGGGGGAGTGAGTGGAGCGTGGGGTTGTGTGTGTGCGTGCGGCAGGGGGTGTGTGTATGCGGGAAGCGGCGCGACGGGGCTTGGAGTGGGCATGGCTCCCGCAGAGGGAACGTTGGCCGGAAGGCTGTGTGCGCGCGCCAGGGAACTTGCGGCTGGACGCCAATGTGCATGCTCAGTTGTTTTGCCTTTTTGTGAGTGTGTTGTTGTGTTGTTTTTCATTTTGAGTAGATATGTTTGTACCTTGTGGGTTGTGTTATGGGCATGGGAATTTTGGTTAAGTTTCGTTGGGGGATTTTTGAGTTTTGTTGTTTTGCCGTTTTGTGAGTGTGTTGTGTTGTTTTTCATTTTGAGTAGATATGTTTGTACCTTGTGGGTTGTGTTATGGGCACAGGTATTTTGGTTAAGTTTCGTTGGGGGATTTTTGAGTTTTGTTGTTTTGCCGTTTTGTGAGTGTGTTGTTGTGTTGTTTTTCATTTTGAGTAGATATGTTTGTACCTTGTGGGTTGTGTTATGGGCATGGGAATTTTGGTTAAGTTTTGTTGGGGTTTTTGAGTTTTGTTGTTTTGCCGTTTTGTGAGTGTGTTGTTGTGTTGTTTTTCATTTTGAGTAGATATGTTTGTACCTTGTGGGTTGTGTTATGGGCATGGGAATTTTGGTTAAGTTTCGTTGGGGGATTTTTGAGTTTTCTTGTTTTGCCGTTTTGTGAGTGTGTTGTTGTGTTGTTTTTCATTTTGAGTAGATATGTTTGTACCTTGTGGGTTGTGTTATGGGCATGGGAATTTTGGTTAAGTTTCGTTGGGGTTTTTTTGAGTTTTGTTCTTTTGCCGTTTTGTGAGTGTGTTGTTGTGTTGTTTTTCATTTTGAGTAGATATGTTTGTACCTTGTGGGTTGTGTAATGGGCACGGGAATTTTGGTTAAGTTTCGTTGGGGGATTTTTGAGTTTTGTTGTTTTGCCGTTTTGTGAGTGTGTTGTTGTGTTGTTTTTCATTTTGAGTAGATATGTTTGTACCTTGTGGGTTGTGTTATGGGCATGGGGATTTTGGTTAAGTTTCGTTGGGGGGTTTTTGAGTTTTGTTTCTCCGTTGGATGCCCCTAACAAATTTATATATATAGATAATGTCTCGATTTAGTGCATCTTCCAGTAGGTGGAGACAACACATTAAAAAAAACAGCTCCATAATATTCTACATAAGATGTTCCACATTCTCGTAATTAACTTCCACTTCAAAGAAGAAATTTGCTGCCAGAACCTTAACAACTGTTTAGCAGAACAATATGGATCATTTGTTTCTGTCCTCAGGAGGATAAAAAGAAACGAGATAGGGACCATGGTGAAAATGAAGGTGAAAGAGACCTGAAACCTATAAGGCTGGATATATCTCTGGACAAACCACTGGCAAGCAGTTTAGCAAAACAGGAAGGTAAAACAAAAGTCTGTTGTGTTTTGAAATATTTGTTTGCATTATTTTCGAGCGGTAATGTTGATTTAGTGCATTGTTGTCGAAGTGTAAAGATGGCAAATAGATCTTGACAATGAATTAGAAAAGGGAAAGCACCAAGAGCCCAGATATTAATTGTACTAGGGCTCAAGTCTTCCTTCCTTTCTTTTGTGTGTCGAGAGCGACTTGAGAAACTGCAAGTTGCTTCTGGTGTGAGGGAATTGGCCGTCTGCAAGGACGTTGCCCAGGGAATGCCCGGATGTTTTTACCATCCTTGTGGGAGGCTTCTCACATGTCCCTGCATGGGGAGCTGGAGCTGACAGGGAGCTCATCCGTGCTCTCCCCAGGATTCGAACCTCTGACCTGTTAAGTCTTCAGTCTTGCCGCCACTGCACAATGGGGGGCTCCTAAGTGTTCCAATGCTTTGAGTTAAAGTTTGACCACTGATTCTCAATCTTGGCTCTATTGCTAATGTTGGACTTCAGCTCCCAGAGGCCCCATCCAACATGGCCATCAGGAGGATTCTGGGAGTTATAATCTAGTAACATATGGGACTACTATGTATGAGAGCTGCTGCACAAAATAATTATGTCAGGAGTTAAATAGGTTAGCTGACCTACTAACTTCCCTAGCAAAGTCAGGGAAGAGAAGAAAAAAATATATTTTAGTGCTGTTTGAAACAAAAGGTGGAGTAGACAGGACTTTCATGAGGGCAGGTCTTCCTCCTCACATGGAAAAGGGCAAATCTATTGCTTATTGTATTATCCCAACCTTCCATAGTTGGAAAAGTTGTTAAGTACGTTCTTGTTGAGATGCTATATGAACCCATAGCACTGTCGAGTGTGATTTAGAAGTTCTTTCTGTTGTGTCGTTTATTTCTTGTCATCTCTATCTTTGTCCTAGAAGTGGAGCAAACACCACTTCAAGAAGCTTTGAACCAACTTGTCAGACAGCTGCAGAGGTAAGACTTTGGGATAGTGCTGGCAAGGCATGCTAAGCATGTAATACGGGAATAACATAAATGGTACTGTCTTTCTAAGTTGGAGCTTTCTTTACAAATCTGCTGTGTTGACATGCTAATATCAACGTACTTTAAATAATAATACAAGATTCTATGTGCTTCCTTTGTCATCTTCATTTAATAACAGCTTTCATGGTTTTAAAAAATAGAGTTTTGTTACAGAGGCTGTAGAACAGAGTTTCTCAACTTGGGGTCGGGACCCCTGGGGGGGGTCGCGAGGAGATGTCAGAGGGGTCACCAAAGACCATCAGAAAACACAGTATTTTCTGTTGGTCATGGGTTATGTGGGAAGTTTGGCCCAATTCTATCATTGGTGGGGTTCAGAATGCTCTTTGATTGTAGGTGAACTATAAATCCCAGCAACTACAACTCCCAAATGTCAAGGTTCTATTTCCCCCAAACTCCACCAGTGTTCACATTTGGGCATATTGTGTATTCGTGTAAAGTTTGGTCCAGATCAATCATTGTTTGAGTCCACAGTGATCTCTGGATGTAGGTGAACTACAACTCCAAAACTCAAGGTCAATGCCCACCAAACCCTTCCAGTATTTTCTGTTGGTCATGGGAGTTCTGTGTGCCAAGTTTGGTTCAATTTCCTCATTGGTGGAGATCAGAATGCTCTTTGATTGTAGGTTAACTATAAATCCCAGGAACTACAACTCCCAAATGACAAAATCAATTATCCCCCCCTCCAACATTCAAATTTGGGCATAGCACGTATTTGTATCAAAAATACATCCTGCATATCAGATATTTATATGAGGATTCATAACACTAGCATTCGTCATGTAGTGACGAAAATAATTTTATGGTTCGGGGTCACCACAACATGAAGAACTTGTATTAAGGGGTCACGGCATTAGGAAGGTTGAGAAACACTGCTGTAGAAAGTTACTGATAATGGGACTGTGTTTCACAAATAAACTATAAAACATGGAATGTTTTATATTTTTTGTGGGATCTCGAGTAAGTGAGTATTACATTTTGTGAGTGTAGTATGTAGTATTTTGTGGCCTGCTTTTATCCTGCCTTGGAGAGATTGTATTTCCTAATCGGAAATATCTGTAAGAGTTATTCTAAAGGAAGCTGTTGTAGCCTTCTAAATAATTATTAATCTGACTATGGAATATACAAAGATTTGCTCAAAATAATTTTTGAAGGAATTATGTCATTTCAAAGTGTGGAAGAGAATAAAAGGCACTGGTTGAAGCACACCTTCATTTTAACAGGACCAATTGCTGTTTAAGCACCTGGTCCAAAATCACTGCTCATTTTCCCAGCCTGTCAATACAGTTTGATTTACCGTATATACTCATCAATATATCACCTATATATCTGTATATCTCCATGTGTGTGTATATATATGTATGTATGTATGTATGTATGTATTTATATATGAATTTTTCTGTCACACGTTTGCAAGTTTTTGCAAATCCTATATAGATATCTTGGGAGGAGAGCAATGTCCAGTCTCGATAAAATAGTAAAGAGTAGAGACATCAGACTGGCAACAAAGATCCATTGCCTAGTCAAAGCCATGTATTCCCTGTAGTCACCTACGGATGTGAGAGCTGGACCTTAGGGAAGGCTGAGCGAAGGAAGATGGATGCTTTTGAGCTGTGGTGTTGGAGGAAAGTTCTGAGAGTGCCTTGGACTGCGAGAAGATCCAACCAGTCCATCCTCCAGGAAATAAAGCCCGACTTCTCACTGGAGGGAAAGATACTAGAGACAAAGTTGAAGTGCTTTGGTCACATCATGAGGAGACAGGAAAGCCTAGAGAAGACAATTATGCTGGGAAAAGTGGAAGGCAAAAGGAAGAGGGGCCGACCAAGGGCAAGATGGATGGATGGCATCCTTGAAGTGACTGGACTGACCTTGAAGGAGCTGGGGGTGGTGACGGCCGACAGGGAGCTCTGGCGTGGGCTGGTCCATGAGGTCACAAAGAGTCGGAGACGACTGAACGAATGAACAACATATAGATATCATTATCTATAGATAGATATATATGAATATAGATATATAGGGCTTGCAAATATTACAGGGGGAAATGCACACACAAATACATATAGACACGTCTAGATAGATAGGAATATAGATATATAGGGCTTGCAAATATTGCAGGGAAATGCACACACAGAGAGAGGAAGAGATGTCTAGATAGATACAGGGCTTGCAAATATTGCAAGAGGGAAATGCACATATATAGAGAGAGGATTTGCAAACATTTCAGGGAGAAATGCATATGTGAAATTAGCATTATAGATCTATATCTAGCTCTGCATTGTTTATATAGGCATTGAATGTTTGCCTGTTACTATGTTGGAAGCCGGCCTTAGTCCTTATGGGAAGATAGGGCAGGATACAAATGAAGTTTCTTCTTCTTCTTCTTCTTCTTCTTCTTATTATTATTATTATTGATACCATATTGTTTTTGTTGACCCTATTTTTCCACTTACAGAGCTAGTTTATTGTTTTTCTTTGAAATGCAGTAAATATTCAAAAACATTTAACCTACTGATGCCTCAATTAAAGTAATTTTATTGGTATCTATTTTTATTTTGATATTTACCAGTAGCTGCTGCATTTCCCACCCTCGGCTTATACTCAAGTCAATACGTTTTCTCAGATTTTTGTGGTAAAATTAGGTGCCTTGGCTTATATTTGGGTCAGCTTATACTCGAGTATATATGGTATATAAGCTTGGAGGCCTCTTCCTGAGCATATATAAACCTACAAACATATTTGGTTTGGAATGAGGATGAAATAATACTTGCCATCTTGTTTTAGCTTTCTCTTGCTGAGGTTTGGGCTGCCGGTGTTAGAAGACTCTTGCTCTTATATAGTATATTCATATAAGCTCTCCTTGTAATTTTGGGAATGCTATTGGGATCTTGCTTGAAGGTGAAAATACTGTTTTGCAACCGTTCGATGGCCTCATGCAATAAACTTCCCCATCATTGATATTGTAATGTGCCTTTTGAGTTTGAAGGAGAAGCAGGGAAATGTGATAGCTGTGGTTTGATTTACAGCTATCAAACACATTTTAACAATAACATCCCAGCCAAAGCTGGGCCTGGCAGGCAAAGATGCTTCCAGGCAGCATCCCACCAACTTTAAAGAAATGCAAGATTGGATTAGGGCAAAAACTATCTCTTGTCTCAGCTCAGTTTCCTGGTTCCTTTCAAGTCGGGAGTCTTCTCTCCTATTTAATACTAAACTCTGTCTGTTCTTTGTTATAGAAACGGAACATAAAGGGCTGTTCTTTTCATTTCTTAACAGAAAAGATCCAAATGCTTTCTTTTCATTTCCTGTGACTGACTTTATTGCTCCCGGCTACTCCATGATCATTAAACGCCCAATGGATTTTAGTACCATGAAAGAGAAGATCAAGAACAATGGTTACCAGTCCATAGAAGAACTAAAGGTGCTTTTAATTTATATTTCAACTGCAGAGAGGGGATTAAACATTGACACTTGCTGGTACTAGCAATTGCATTCCACAGGGTTTTTTTTTAAGAAAAAATATTTTATTCATCTTGGGCTGAACTTTCATAGTTTATGAACACACAGAATCAAAAATGGGCACATCTGGCTTTAAGAGTTTTCCATTGAGCTTCTTTAAAGGAAGCCTTTGAGTGTCTTCAATAGGCGCTTTTTAATGTTAACTTGCAAGGTGTTTGAAAGAAAGTGTGCCTATCTGCAGATACACGTGTGTCAGGAGGGGAGAGACTGAACAGCCAGAACATATTTTGAGAGGGCTTGATGTTCTGAAACAAAACTAGGTTTGTAAAAGAAGGCATATGAAGAGAACTTAGTTATTAATTTGTCAGGGAAACAAAAAGTAATCATTTAGTTAGTGGGTTTAAATAGCTTCTACATAGAAACACAGAGCTGGAAGAGACACCAAAGGCCATCTAGTCCAATCCCCCTGCCTGGTGGAAATACACAATCCAAACCCACCTGGCTCTTCAACCTCTAGAAGATCTCAGAGTTAAAAATCAAGCTCACAACAATAAAACACTGGAGACAAGTGGTTTATTCCTTCTTTCCAGAATCCTAAAAAGACAGTTCTAAAGTTTTCCAGCACAAACCTCCTGTATATATCCACCCCGACTCCCATCCACCCCCTAGTGGCCAAACAAGACTCTATTTATATATTTATTTATTTTGCACATTTGTATCTCACCCTGGGGTCAGATGGCTTCACAATCGGCAACCATTAAATGCCCCCCCCCCCCAAAAAAAACCAATTATAAAAACCATTTACATTTAAAACAATCATTAAAATATCACATATTAAACATACAGTTAAAATTATGCAAGTTCAAGTCATCGTCCAGGTCAGTCCATTGTCAATCCAATAAGTCGTTCTCATTGTTAACGCTGTTTCTGCTGCTCAAATGCTTGGAAACTCTACCATCAAGAATTTCTACCATCATGAATTACCATCAAGAATTTCATCCTAGTGTTGAGGTGGAATGTCTTTTTTGATAGTTTGATTCCATTGCTCTGTGTCCTACATAGACTGCAGTCACAAAAGTATGTAGTGTTGTTTGGGTTTTTTGGATTTATTTGACAATTGAATTTAGGAGAAAACTAAATATGTAGGGAGATGGAAAATGTTTACTTCCCTTGCATGTCTCTTGCGCTTGTTACATTGTTTTTGTGTCTTTGTTTCTGATTTATGTTAACTCCAAGATACAGAGTTGTCTTGGAAAGATGTATGCAGAGAAAGGCTGTCTTTGGCTGGATCTTCCCTGCCATATAATGCAATTCCAAAACCCAGACTAGGTACATTGAACTGGATTATATGATTCCACACTGCCATATCATCCAGTTCAATGCAGTTAAACTAGATTCTGAAATTGCATTATTTGGCAGGGTAAATGGGGCATCTGTAGTCTCTTCTCCAAGCTTTCAAAGTCATTCCTTATAAGGCTTGGCTTCCTAAACTTGGTCTTGGTCATTCTCCTGTGAACATATCCCATCTTGCAAATATCCCTCTAACTCAGAACTGGGCATAATATTCCAGATATGGTCTGTATCAGAAGAGAATAGTACTATTACTTCCCCTAAATCCAGACACCCTACTATTGATACAGCCTAGGTTTACATTGCCTGCTTTGCCTGTAGCTTCACACTGTTGGCACAAGTTTAGTCTTTGGTCTACTAAGACCCCTAGATCCTTTTTATATAGTTTTTCATCAAGTATATATTTGCACCGTGGCCTTTTTCTGAAGCTGGGAGAATGTGACTTGCCTAAAGTCATCCACTGAGTTTCCAGGACTGAGCAGGCATTTGAACCCTGGCCTCCAGAGTCATTATTTATTTATTTGCAATATTTATATTCCGCCCTTCTCACCCCGCAGGGGACTCAGGGCGGATTGCAATGTACATATACATGGCACACATTCAATTCCATAGACGCACAACATATATGGATAGAGGCAATTTAACATTCCAGCTTTTTCATGAGGGTATTCTGGCCACCAGGGGAGCTGTTGCTTCACCGTCCATTTGTGACACTGATGAAGTACTTCCTCATTCTTTGCGTACTTGTTGGAGATATTTATGGCCTCGTAAATTAGTTAAATTAGCCTGCCCACATAAGCGGTACCTAAATTTTACTACTTGACAGATGCAACTGTCTTTCGCGCTGCAAAGGTCGGCAACAAGCTACACAAATTGGTCGGAAGCTCACTCCGACTCGGGCTGGCTTTGAATTCATGACCTTTCGGTCAGTAGTGATCTTAATGTAGCTGACTCCCAGCCAGCTGCGCCACAATCTTTTGCTCAAACCACTACTCGGCACAGTTGTTTAATTCCTGAAATAAAACACTTGGCTAGTTGGAACAAATACTCTTCACATTTTGATTTAGTTTGGTTTTTTAAGCCAGTTTAGGAGTTTACCAAATCCAACTTGTCACCTTGCTGTCTTTTACATTCCAATCTCACCCCACCCGACCCTACTATTTGTATGTCTTAAAGAGAAACATAAGACCTGTATGCTTCCTTTATTGCTGTTTCCAACCTGACAAAAACAACCCTGTGATCTCCCGGGAGAGCTGTCTGTGATGAGCCTTGCCTTTATCGGGGCATTAATACCAAAGTGTAAGAAGTCAGATGTCTGTCATAAGCGTCTTTGGCCTCAGATCAAATCTGTCATCTCCAAAACATGTCAACCGCTGCTGGCCTAGTGCTCTGCAAGCTAATGCCTCAGGAAAAGGCTACGAAATCCCACCTGGAGGTTTGGCCTGTCATTCTTAAGCGCTTAGAGGCAGCTCAGAAAGTCGTAAAGGGCCTCTTTCTCCATTACTCCAGCGACTCCTTTTGCCTCTCCTTCGGTTGCATCTACTGTAATAAATCAGATTGTAGTTAGAGGTAGAAAAAGACAGTTCTGAAAAAGCTCTACCTGCCTTTGAGGTCTTAAAAATGTCAATCAATGGCCCTGGATTGGACCTTGGGAATCCTATTAGGAAACGAGACAAGAACTTGATATGAAACTTTTCAGAAACTGGAGAAGGTTGTTAAGACAAATAGTTTTGAAACCCCTGCTGTTTTAACATGATCCAGTCATGTCAGCATCCTTATTCTGGTCAAGGAGAAGAATTGCAAAAAATTGAGTTTCTTTTTCTAAACACTAGCTGCCTTCTACTTAATTAAAATTTCACGTGAAGAGATAGACATATATCCTAGCATCCTTGAAATCTGTGATCATATGTCTTATATTTTGTCCCCTATTGATACAGGACAGTTTCAGGCTGATGTGTACTAATGCTATGATCTATAACAAACCAGAGACCATTTATTACAAGGCTGCGAAAAAGCTCTTGCATTCAGGAATGAAAATACTCAGCCAGGTAACTCTGCTACAGTGGGAAAACGTTTTGGAAGAATGGTGTCAAATTGTGTTGTAAGATCATACTTTTTGTCTTTAACATTGAAATAATTAATCACTGTTAATATTAAGATATTTGTCCCTCCTTGAAAATTCTATCCCAGTTATATCCTACCTTGTTCATGTCCAGCATTATTTTTAATTTTAATCTATTACATTTGGCCCGGCCATTGGTTTTAAATGCTTGTGTGTTACTGTGATTTATTCTTTATTTTTTGTTATGTGACTTATATTAATTGTATTGCTTTGGTTGTTTTGTTTTGCTTTGTTTATTGATGTATTATGGGCTTGGCCTCATGTAAGCCGCACCGAGTCCCTTGGGGAGATGGTAGCGGGGTACAAATAAAGTTTTTTTTATTTTTGTTCCTTAATAATTATCTTGGATGTTATAGAGAAGTATAAATTATTGACTATCAGTGATCTTTCCTTCAAGAATCATAAATAATATATGCTACTGGGGTCACTTTACTCACATCTGAGTATCTTTGCTACAATTTTGCTGTAACATTAGTTTGGTGATACATTGTCAGAGCAAGATTGAATTGTTGCATTAAAGGAAACAGTGTAGCTTTTGCAAATTAGTACAAAGATTTAATTTGAAGCAACCTTATTGCTACACTGTTTCAGACTCCCCATACAATTAATTACCATACATTTTTCTCTTCTTCCTCTCCGTCTTTGCCCTCTCTTTCTTTCTCTGAGTATGGAAGAGTTACTTCAGGAAACTGAGCTCCGAAATAGACTGCAGTATGTGTTTGCAGGAGGATTTTGGGAGTTGCAGTCCAAATAGTAAAGGTGATGCATGCTATATGCCAGCAAATATGGAAAACACAAAAATGGCCATCAGATTGGGAAAAAAATCAACTTATATCCCCGTACCAAAAAAGGAAAGCGCTAAAGAATGCTCAAACTTTCATACAGTGGGACTTATTTGACAGGCCAGTAAGGTAATGCTCAAGATCCTGCAAGGTGGACTCCAGCAATGCAAGAAGTGAGAGTTGTTGGATGTACATGCAGGGTTTAGAAAATGCAGCGGAATGAATAATAGAGGAAGGCAGGGAGTTTCAGAAAAACATCTATTTCTGTTTTATTGACTATTCTAAAGCCTTTAACTATGTGGATCATAATAAATTGTGGCAAGTTCTTGGTGAGATGGGGATACCAAGCAACCTTGTCTGTCTCCTAAGGAATCTGTATAAGGACCAAGTAGCAACAGTTAAGAACAGACCATGGAACAGCAGACTGGTTCAAGATTGGGAAAGGAGTTCAGCAGGGCTGTATACTCTCACCCATCCCATTCAACTTGTATGGAGAACACATCATGCGATGTGCGGGGCTTGATGAATGCAAGGCTGGGGTAAAAATTGATGGAAGAAACATTAACAACCTTAGATATGCAGATGATACCACTTTGATGGCCGAAAGCAAGGAGGAGCTGAGGAGCCTTCAAACCAAGGTGAGAGAAGAAAATGCAAAAGCTGGGTTGCAGTTAAACATAAAAAAACCAAGATAATGGCAACCAGACTGATTGATAACTGGCAAATAGAGGGAGAAAACATGGAGTAAGTGACAGACTTTGTATTTCTAGCCGCAAAAATGACTGCAGACGCAGAGCGCAGCCCAGAAACCAGAAGACATTTACTCGATAAAATAGTGAAGAGTAGAGATATCACCCTGGCAATGAAGGTCCACATAGATAAAGCAATGGTATTTCGCATATTAACCTATGGATGTGAGAGCTGGACCATAAGGAAGGCTAAGGGAAGGAAGAGAGATGGTTTTGAACTGTGGTGCTGGAGAAAAATCAAGAGAGTGCCTTAGACCACAAGAAGATCCAACCAGTCCATAATCCAGGAAATAATGTCCAACTGCTCACTGTAGGAAGGCTATTTGAGGCAAACATGAAGTACTTTGGCCACATCATGAGAAGACAGGAAAGCCCGGAGAAGACAATTATGCTGGGGAGAATGGAAGGAAACAGGAAGAGGGGCCGACCAAGGACAAGATGGATGGATGTTCTCCTTGAAATGACTGGCTTGACATTGAAGGAGCTGGGGGTGGCCATGGCCAACAGGGAGCTCTGGCGTGGGCTGGTCCAGGGGGTCACAAAGAATTGGAAGCAACTGAACGAATACACAACAAAAGTCCAAATAGTAACATTTCTGAGCTGTTTTTGTGACCTAAAAAGATGGCATTTCATTCACTAATGCCCACTCTGTTTGGGCAGCTTTTCAAGTGTGGGGCAGGGATCAAATGAGACATTTTGGACTCTCTTGTGTTTTGCTTTCCTTAGGAAAGAATTCAGAGCTTGAAGCAAAGCATCGACTTCATGGCAGACCTTCAGAAAGCCCGGAAGCAGAAAGATAAATCCGATCTACAGTCTGGGGGAGAAAATGGCAACGGACTCGGAAAAGAAGCAAACTCCATGAACGTAGACCTTCGAGCCTTTAAAAGTCCCACCAAAGAGCATAAAAAGTGATTATTCTAGAAGGCCTAAGTATTTTTTTTTTCATTTGTGCCAAACTGGAGCACATGACTCTAGGCCAGGCATGGGCAAACTTCGGCGCCCTCTCTCCAGGTGTTTTGGACTTCAACTCCCACAATTGCTAACAGCCTCAGGCCCTTTCCTTTTCCCCCTCAGCTTAACGCTCCAGTGAGTAATCTAGCTGGTAGGCTGTTAGGAATTGTGGGAGTTGAAGTCCAAAACACCTGGAGGGAGGGCTGAAGTTTGCCCATGCCTGCTCTAGACTGTTGACAGTTACTTATCTATATGCTTAGAAAAGGGGGTTCAGCAAATTCATGGGAGGGAAATTGTTGTTTGTAATATTTTTATATAAAACTTCCCTGTACAGAAACAGTATGCGCTTGACTGCAGAACATCATAACTAATACAAATGGCTTAGGTTACAAAACAGAAAATGAACATGGGAGGAGAATCAGAAGTTCATGTGTAAAAGGAAATATAATAATTTATCTCTTTCTAGCTAGATTTGCCAAATAGATGTTTCAGTTTATGTCCACTTCAATACTAAATGTGCATTTCCTGTTTTAAACTATGGAGAACATGTTGGTGTTTATCATTTTTTTTGAAAATACATACATTTTTGATTTATCAGTGCTCCATTTCTATTGGTGGTCTTATAGGCCAAGAATGAGCACAATCATATGTACCGTATGTACTTGAATATAAGCTTAGTTTTTCAGCTCTTTTTTCAGCTGAAAAAGCCTCCCTCGACTTATACTCAAGTCAAGGTTAATTATTATTATTATTATTATTATTATTATTATTATTATCATTATTATTATATAACATTTATTATTTTACTCTATTTATTATTATTATTACATTTGGTACATTATTTTACTCTATTATTATTACATTTGTTATTTTACTGTACTATTACTTCATTTATTATTTTACTCTATTATTATTGCTACATTTGGTATATTATTTTACTCTATGATTGTTATTATTGCATTTATTATTTATGTTCTTATTACATGTATTATTTTACTCTATTACATTTATAATTTTATTTTTGTTATTATATTTACATTATTGTAGTCTTATTGTTATTACAATTATTATTTTACTCTATAAGTATTCGAAGGATACGTAAGCCCATTTACATTGAAGAATGATAGAATAATGGTTAATCAGTTGGGCATGATAAATACCATATATACTCAAGTATAAGCCGAGCTTTATAAGCCCCCCTCGGCTTATAATCCAGTCAGGCTTATTTATTATTTTACTCTGTTATGATTATTATTTGATTACATTTACTATTTTACTCTCTTTATTATCATTCCTCTATTTTTGTTATTATTATTATTATTATTACATTAATCAATCAATCAATTAATTAATTACATCATTTTTATCCCACACATTTTTGCCAAAAGGCTCTATTTTACTCTATTATTGTTTTTCTTATTATATTTATTATTTTACTCTATTATTCTTGGAAGGATATGTAAGCACATTTACAATGAAGAGGGTTAGAATAATGGTTTAATCATAGTTGGATATCCTTATCTTAAATTACGGTTTTATGTAAATATTCAAAAACATTTAACCTCAATTAATGTAATTATATTGGTACCTATTTTTATTTTGAAATTTACCAGTAGCTGCTGCATTTCCCGCCCTTGGCTTATACTCGAGTTAATACGTTTTCCCAATTTTTGGTGGTGTAATTAGGTGCCTTGGCTTATTTTTAGGTTGGCTTATACTGAGTATTTACAGTGTATGGACCTTTTGTCTTTTTTTCCCTTTTAGGAAAGAAAAAGATCTACTTGAAGAAAAAATAAGGAATAATAATTTAGAGAAGGAACAAGAACTGATTGAACGCATCATTAAAGAATCAGGAGGGAAATTGACAAAACGTCCTGCTAACGGCCAGGTAAATAGACTGGGGGTGGGGGGTATGATAAGAGAAACCTTGAAGTGGAAGACATTTAAGTCCCTTTGGTTTGATGTAGCAATGGCTTACTATCATTAAGAATCTATATCAAGTCTCATAATAACCATTAATTGAAGTGATGAGCAAAAGAGGCTACTAAATTATGCATGGCTCAGTGTTGTTCTCGCTTTGCAGGCTGGGCACCAGAGACCTTGTTTTAATGGCTTGATCTTTTATTTCAGTGCGAGTTCGAACGGAGAAAACCTGATGGCACAACCACCCTGGGACTTCTTAATCCGGCAGAAAATAACGCAGGGGGTGAGGCTTGGAATGACTAATTTTAACCAACTTTTCTGTCATTGGCGTGTATTTCCAGTGGATTCTCTGCATTTAGACGAGACGCTGAAAAGGTCTCTGGAGGCTGTGTCGTGCTCATCATGAGTTTGTCCTTACAATTCCCATGGTTCATCCATCTGTTTCTAATCTGTGTTTCCACTTAATGTGTTTCTTATTGGGGGAAAAGAAATCAATCAAGTTCAAAACAATAGTGACCTAAAATCTTGGAATGTTTTGCATTTCGAATTTTGAGTTATATCACTTTTTCTTGTTTGTACCTTTCTTGGGTCATAGACCTGGCCCATCCGTCTCTGAGGCTCGGTGCGACAGCCGGAAGACTTCAGTCTGGTGTAAACACATTGCAAGGCTTCAAAGAGGACAAAAGGAACAAAGTTACTCCAGGTAAAACCTGCTGCTTCTCTCTGCTATTATTTATCGTGTCAGGAGCAAACCAGATAGTTGTATTGCATTTTTTAACAAACAAACAGACAAAACACAAAGTTTGCAAACTGGTAGTTGATTAAATGTCCTTTGACCAGTATCTGGCTACTTGGAGTGCCTCTGGTGTTGCCACAAGAAGGTCCTCCGTTGTGCATGTGGCAGGGCTCAGGTTGCATTGCAGCAGGTGGTCTGTAGTTTGCTCGTCTCCCCACTCGCATGTCGTGGATTCCACTAAATAAAATAAATAAATAAAATAAATAAAAAGGTATTTGGGAGTATTTTCCTATGCATCCATAGGCGACAAATTCCAAAGATGTGAGTATCACAAAACCTACACAGCCTTTAAGTGCAGGCAGAATACAAATGCAGTTACTTATTTCCCCTTAATTCTGAAATCGATGTCTTGTTTCAGATTAAGAGAACATCAGAGAAAACCTTTGATATGTTCGGCTGTGGTTCAAAGTTTAAAAATCAGCCTTAAAATATGTTGCATCATCATTGATATCATAGTTTTACAAGGTTTTTAGCCTTCTCTACCAAAAAGAGCTGGTGTCAGTCTTACTGTATCAGCCTGGGACTGGCTAATTTGGTTGTTATAAATAAGAGAGGGGTGGGGGGGAGGCTGGAAACAGTTGGGGAAGTTAGGGTAGATAGAACGTCTGTTTTGTGAGAGAAATTAAAACTGTAGTTAACAGACTGTGGGCACAGAGTTTGGCCACTAGGGGGCGGATGGGAGTTGGGGATGGTATATGTGGAGGTTCGAGTGGGAAAACTTTAGAACTGTCTTTTTAGGATTGTGGAAAGAAGGAATAAACCACTTGTCTCCAGCGTTTTATTGTTGTTGGTTTTTTTAAAAAACATATTTTATTATGTTATAAACACAAATCAATAACTCAAATTCCAAGTGTTACACATATAAATCCTGAGTAGTTCAACAAATATTAAAGACATTATGCTAATTTACACTGGTGTAGATTATATTTTTTCCGACCCTCCCTCCCTCTCCCTCCCTCCTCAACCACAGTATATTTCTACTAATATTGCAGATTGTAGAGTCTTTATATTTTTTCTTTGATGTGATCGTTGGCTCCTCCATTTTTCACCCAGTTGAAGTAGACCTTCCATCTGTTTGCTTAGTCATAATTCCCGTAATATCCAACAGCACTTGATCATACATATAATCATTCCAATTACTTAATGTCCATTTCGATTTGTCTTTCCATCCTCTAGCAATCACTGCATGTGCTGCTCTTACTGTTACCTTAACTCCTGGCAATTAGTTTTTATACTCGGATGATCCAACACTCCCCATAGAAGCAAATCATTATTAATTTGAATTTTTATCTGGAATACTTCTTGAATTTTTTTCTTGTATCATTTGCCAGCATTTTTTAATTTCAGGACACTCCTACCACATATGTGAATAAGTACTTTTTTAATTGTGAGCTTGGTTTTAATTCCAAGATCTTCCAAAATCTGACAGCTGATGCCTGACCAAACTACAAATCCCAGGATTCCAAAGCATTGAGCCATGGCAATTAAAGCTTACAGTGTAGACTCAGTCGTAGTTCCTCCTCTCAACTGAGAGCATGCTGTAACTCCAAAACCTTTGTCTTATCTCTTAAACAAAACCCCAGAGTTTGCTTTCTGTCTTCCTCTGAGACAAGTGTAATTGGAAGAACAGCTCCTTTCCTCTTCCTAGGAAAGCAGAAACAGCTTTAATAATAATAATCATCATCATCTTCATCATCATCTTTGTCAAAGGCTTTCATGGCCAGAATCACTGGGTTGTTGTAGGTTTTTTTCGGGCTATATGGCCATGTTCTAGAGGCATTCTCTCCTGACATTTCGCCTGCATCTATGGCAAGCATCCTCAGAGGTAGTGAGGTCTGTTGGAACTAGGAAAATTGGGTTTATATATCTGTGGAATGACCAGGGTGGGACAAAGAACTCTGGACACAGCATATTATTTGAGAACACAGAAATGCTGGACCACTCTAACAACCACCATGTCAGACTACACAGAGAAGCCATTGAAATCCACAAGCATGTGGACAATTTCAACAGAAAGGAGGAAACCATGAAAATGAACAAAATCTGGCTACCAGTATTAAAAAAAACTCTAAAATTACAACAGCAAAACAGCAGAGAGGAAACAATCAGGGACATCTAATCACCTCTCAACAAAAGACTGCTCCAAGCACTGCCAGGCCATCAAATGCTAATCAAGGTGGTCAGTTGAAACATTCACACCTAGCTCCAGCAGACAAGAGTTATTTGTCCCACCCTATATATATATAGGGTGGGACAAATAACTCTTGTCTGCTTGAGCTAGGTGTGAATGTTTCCACAGATATTATAAACCCATTTTCCTAGATCCAATAGACCTCACTATCTCTGAGGATGCTTGCCATAGATGCAGGCAAAACGTCAGGAGAGAATGCCTCTAGACCATGGCCATATAGCCCGAAAAAACCTACAACAACCCATAATAATCTTTATTTATACCCCACCACCATCTCCCCAATGGGGACTCGGGGCAGCTTACATGAAGCCGAGCCGAACAGCATATTACAATAAAATATTACAATAAAATAAAAACCAACAGCACAGTGAAATACATAAAACATGTGAGTACAGTAAGCAATATAAAAATACAATACAAAATCATTCACAATCACAATGAGTGGGTAAAATACTAAAAACTCAGGGTGTGATAGGAATGGAGCAGATTATTTGTGAGGGAGAATCTCATAAAGAAACGGGGTCGTAATAAACAGGCCTTTTCTTCCAAAGAGCAAATGGTAAAGATCAATGAGTATAGAACCCATTCTTTAAAGCTGATTTGGGGGTTTCCCTGTCCTCTTTCTTTTTCATTAGTGATGTACTTGAACTATGGACCCTTCAGCACTTACGCTCCAGCTTACGATTCCACCTTTGCCAATATCAGCAAGGATGATTCAGATCTGATCTACTCCACTTATGGAGAAGACTCTAATCAAGGCGGTTTTAAGTAAGTATCGAGCAAATGAACTAGACGTATCTTTGGTTCTTAAATTGGTGGCTCAGCTGAAGTATTGTTTGCTGAAAACTTGCAGAAGTTTTCTTAACTAGATACAAAGTAATATCCTATTACTATCAACAGCAATAGTAGTGGAGAGGAAAGTTTTGGGTTTTTTAATGTTTGCTTTTTAGTTGATGGTTGAGAATTCAATTAATATGACCTCTGGGAATCTCTAAATCCTCTGTTATGACACTTTGGTCAGCTTCTTGACTATAGAGTTATGCTGGAACTGTATATATTGACAAGTTTTTCCCTCAGGTTAAATAAGTTTTTTATTTTAAAAAAATCATTCTGTGCCCAGCAAATATGTAATGTAGTTTCTGAAGATGTAATGCAAGCACCTGCTTGTCTGGTTTTGATGGATTCATTTCAATTAGTGCAGCCTGAGGATGTGGACATGATCCTTGGAGAAGCGAGGGCAACTGCATGCATCCTGGACCCCTGCCCATCCTGGCTGATAAAGGAGGCCAGAGGGGGGTTGGCGGAGTGGGTGAAAGTGGTGGTTAATGCCTCTTTACAGTATGGCAAGATTCCAGCCAGCCTATAAAAGGCTGTAATAAAACTGCTGTTGAAAAAAACATCACTGGACCCCACTCAATTGAACAACTTTTGACCAGTTTCCAATTTCCCCTTTTTGGACAAAGTCTTGGAACACCTGGTGACTTTGCAATTCCAAGTGTTCTTGAAGGAAACTGATTACCTGGATCCAGCACAGTCTGGCTTTAGGCTGCGTCATGGAACTGAAACAGCCTTGGTCGCCTTAGTAGATGATCTACGCCAAGAACTGGACAGGGAGAGTGTGTCCATGTTGGTTTTCCTGGATTTCTCAGCGACCTTCGATACCATAGACCAGGGGTCCTAAAACTAAAGCCCGGGAGCCAGATACGGCCCTCCAAGGTCATTTACCTGGCCCTCTCTCAGGGTCAGCCTAAGATTGAAATGACTTGAAAGCACACAACAACAACAACAACAACAACAACAACGCTATCTCATCAGCCAAAAGCAGGCCCACACTTCCCATTGAAATACGAATAAGTTTATATTTGTTAAAACTGTTCATCATTTTAATTATTGTTTTGTTTTTAAATGTTTTTTGCACTACAAATAAGATATGTGCAGTGTGCATAGGAATTCATTCAATTTTTTTCAAATTATAATCTGGCCCTCCAACAGTTTGAGGGACTGTAACCTGGCCCTCTGTTTAAAATGTTTGAGGACCCCTGTCGTAGACCATGGTGTCCTTCTGGGATGCCTCACGAGAATGGGTCTCAGAGGTGCTGTTTTCCAGTGGCTCCAATCCTTCTTGGAGGGTCGTTCCCAGAAGGTGTTGTTGGGGAACACCGGCTTGGCCCCACAGCCATTGACCTGTAAGGTCCCACAGGGTTCAGTATTGTCCCCCTTGTTGTTTAACATCTACATGAAGCCACTGGAACTGCTGTCATATGTACGTAGATGATGTTCAACTCTTATCACTTCTTTCCACCTCCTACTAAGAGGCTGTTCAGGTCCTGAACCAGTGCTTGGCAGCTGTGACGGTCTGGATGAGGGCAAACAAATTGAAATTGAATCCAGACACGACAGTGGTACTCCTGGGCAGTCGCAAGGCCAAACGGGGTATAGGCTACAGCCTATATTGGATAGGGTTACACTCCCCCTGAAGATGCAGGTTCACAGCTTGGGAGTTTTCTTGGACTCATCGCTAAGCCTGGAACCCCAGGATTTGACGGTGTCCAGGGGAGCATTTGCACAATTAAAACTTGTACACCCGCTGTGCCCATACCTTGGGAAGTCAGACTTAGCCACCGTGGTCCACGCTCTGGTTACATCCCAAATAGACTACTGCAATGCATTCTATATGGGGTTGCCTTTGAATACTGTTCGGAAACTTCAATTGATCCAAGGGGTGGCAGCCAGATTGCTCACCAAAGTCGTGTACAGGGAGCATACAACCCCCGTTATGTCAGCTCCACTGGTTGCCGGTCTGCTACCGATACAAATTCAGAGTGCTGGCTTCAAAGTGCTGGCTTTAGCCTATAAAGCCTTAAATGATTCCGGCCCAGCTTACCTATCTAAATGTATCTCCTTCTATGATCCACCCTGAAGACTAAAATCATTAGGAGAGGCCCTGGACTCGGATTGGCCCTGGAATATGATTTGGATTTTGTGATTTTAACTGATGTTTTAATGTTTATGTTTTTAATTGGGTTGATTTTAATGCAGTTGTTTCTTTACTGATATATATACTGTGATTTGGCAGCCAGTGAGAGTTTAATTGACAAAGAAATGGCCAAATCCAAAGGGATCTGAGTCACTTCCCCTAGCAGCCAAATACCCTATCAAAGTTTTTCCACCATTGCCACTCAAGTCGATGGTTTATTGTACATCGCTTAGCATGTCATTCTGTTCCTTTGATCCTTAGCATGAATGAATTCTTGGCCAAGTCGCAAGAATACCCTTACATCATGGCTGACAGCTTGCTGGACGTCTTGACTCAAGGAAGGCATTCGCGTTCCCTCAGAGAATTAGAGATGGTGAGACTCTTGTGCAAGTAGGATTTTGAATAACGGCACTGAGGGTGTAATTGTGTGATGGTAAAGAAAAACCTCCCCTTGTTCACTGCTGCTTTGTTGGACATCTGAAAATCTGTACATTGAGCCTTGCATTTCACCCGTGTGTTTCAGCTTTCTTTAAATCATTCCTCACCTCCTCCTACTTTTATTAGATACTAGCTGTCCCCTGCCATGCATTGCTGTGGCCCAGTCTGTGTATATGTGTTTTGTGTGTGTATATGTGTGTTTCCGTATATATGTGATTTTGCACATGCATTGTAATGTAATTTTTTGGTTTATGGCTTTTTAAGTCCCTTCTGTTGTGTTTTTCAGTGTTTTTATGAGTGATGGTCACTAATTGGCCTGATAGGTGTATTGGGTTCAAATTTGGTGTCAATTTGTCCAGTGGTTTTTTAGTTATGTTAATCTCCCAATCGAACATTACATTTTTATTTATATAGACTAGCTTGAGGACCTGGTAGTGACGGGATTATTTGAAAAAGGCATTGTATGTTCAGTTGATCATGAGGCTTCTCTGTGCCAGTTTTGGTCCCAGTCCATTGTCGGTGGGGGTCACAGTATCGCTGGATGCAGATGAATTACAGCTCCCAAAATCAAGATCAATTCCCACAAACCCCTCATTTGGTCATGGGGCTTCTCTGTGTCAAGTTCGGTTTGATCCAGGTCCGTCATTCATGGGAGTTGCAGTGGCCTCTGGAAGTGAGTGAAGGGTACTGCAAATTCCATCACCCGTGGCAAGTTTGGTCCAGAGTTGGGTTCACAGACATCTCTGGATGTAGGTGAACTACAACTTCTATAAATCATGGTGAATTCCCCCAAAACCTCTTATTCAGTTGCTAATCAATTCCTGTTTGCTGTGTGCCATAGGAAAAGGTAGGAAAGGGTTAAGGGAGAAGCAGTGGGCAGGGTCATGCAAATTCCACACCAGTGGAAAGAGAAAGGAACCCTGGGATGTCCATTCTGGAGGGAAAAACAGAACTTCTAAGATGAAATTGTCTCCAAATGAAAGCCTTCACTTGGGTGGTGGGCAGTATGGTGTTTGGGGAGGACATTAGCAGGGTTTAGGGTACATGTTCGTGGTGCCCGCTATAACCTTCAGTGTCCTTGGAGGGAGTGCTTTTGGTGGCTCCTCAGCACTGTGAGTTAAAACTGTTTGTGGCGGCGGGAAGCTGTCTGTGTAAGTGGACACCTCCGCCACACACACACATACACACACACATACACATATAAATAGATATAATATTAGTAAGGTACTCAGTGAATTGTCCCATTTGAAAATGCATAAGGATGTGGGTAAATTACAACTCCCATCATTGTCTGTCATTGCACCCAAACCGCACCAGTAGTTAGTTGGTCATGATGGTTATGTTTGCTACCTTTGTTCATTTCCATCATCGATGGGGTTCACAGTTCTTTGTGGATGTGGGTGAACTACAATTCCCACCATCCTGGGTCATTCCCCCTCTCCCAAACTCTGCCAGTACTTAAAGTTGAACTTGGAGAGCCTGTGTGCCAAGTTTGGTCCAGATTCATTGCTGGTGGGAGTCAGAGGGCTCTCTGGATTGTGGGAGCCATCTTGGAAAATACATACAAACCTAAATTCATAGATGGATGGATGGATGGATGGATGGATGGATAGATAGATGCTTTGTTTTATTATATGCATAGATATAGATCTATATATAAATCTCATAACCTTGTTTGGTCCTTTTTCAGTTACAACCTGTAGAGGAAGCTGAATACCAGCGGGCAAGGGCTGATGCCTCCAAGGACGTAGAGGTAACACACTTGTAAGGTCAATTTTAGGCAGTGAAAGGGTTGGAAGCAAGCGGTTTACAGTGATGTTTTTCACTGGATCATAAGTACCAAATCTTACACATAACTAGACTAGTTATCTTCTGTTGTGCAGCATTAGGCATGAATAGCAACTATTTTAACCTTCCTCTTTTTTTACAATAATATTTTATTTAAGGTATATAATAACAAGGAAAGTAGGTGAACATGGTAAATTGGATAGGAAAGTGGGAAAAAGAAGAGGAGAGAAGGAAAGAAGAAAAAAAGAATTTAAAAAGAAAAGAAAGAAAGAAATATATAAAGATCAAAATAAAATAAAAAGTTGGTTACATGCATAAAGAGTCCATTCTTTATTTATATTGTCCTATCTCACTGTGTTTTAAAATTTGATCATTGAATTTGGCCCTGCCCAGTCTAATCCTCTGTGTTTTTAATGTTTGATTTGATTTTGCTGTGTTGCTTATATTGGTTTTGTATTTTATGTTTTGGTTTTGTTATGCTTTTGTGTTATATTGTGTTTACTGTATTGATGACCGTGGCCTCATGAAAGCCGCACCGAGTCCCCCTGGGGGAGATGGAGCGGGGTATAAATAAATAATAATAATAATAATTATTATTATTATTTACAGTTTGACTTCCTACTACATGTTGGTGATGTTGTCCAAAAGTAAATTTATACTTTACTTAATGGGTTTTTTCCCTAGAATTTTCTCCACTGAACCATTCTTAACTGTAGTTTTTGTTCCTAAATGGCAAATTTTTATATCGAAAGTTTTCTACTCAGGTTACCCATAGCCTGATTAGAACAATATTTTAATATTTTCTTTTCTAAGATATTCTTTAACCATTGTTCAGTCTATTTGTAGTTTCCTTCTTTGTTGGTATGTTGTCATTATATTGGTTAATCTTTCCATATTCATCATCTCTGTCCATATTCATTTTAACCTTCCTTTCATGGGACAAAAGAAAAATCAGCTTGTCATATTTTTTAAAAATCCTTATCTTCTTTACCATTATGTCAGTCAGATGTTCTGAATGTTATTTAGTTAATGCTGATCTCTATCTTTCTATAAAGCTCATATACCTCAAAGCAAGGAACAGACAATTTAACTATTTGTAAGTGATTCCAGTAGTATGCTGAAGGACAGGGTACAAAGAGTCTAATGAAATACTACACTTGTTTATAGTAACAACTTATCCAATAGTACAGGGTGCGGTGGCATAAGTTCCTTTTTTAAAATGTGCGCCATTCAGTCGGTTGAAGACGTAGCGGAGCGCTAGTGGTCTCATTCGAGAGGCGGGAGTATAAAGTTTTGTCCTGACACAGTTCAGTCACCATCATGCATTGGAACAATGAGGAGCGTGCTTTTTCCGTTGAGGCCTACTTTTCGAGCAGATGTTCTGTGATCGCAACCCAGCACGCAACCCTTTCGGAATCGCTTTAATTTAGCCCCATTGGCCCCTGTCTCGGACTGGAAATCAATTGTGACGCGGGTCACTACATTCAAACAAACTGCAAGTGTGACAAGACGAAGAACTGGAGTCCCTCAGCCCCTTAGATCACCTGAGAACATTGTGGCAGTGAGAGCTTCAATGTTGGGATCACCACGGCGTTCTGCGTGCAAACATGCGTCTGCCCTTGGATCATTTTGTGAGGAGAATTCTTCACGATGATCTTCATTTCCATCCTTACAAGATGGCGATTGTGCAGGAACTTTCTGAACGTGACTTCAATTCTCAGAGGAACGCATGTGAGGTTCTTCTCGAAGTCGTTCCTGAGGACGCTATTGTTTTTTAGCCCATTTTCATTTGTGTGGATCCGTCAACAAACAAAACATGCACGACTGGGGTGACAACAATCCTCGAGAATTGCATCCAAGGCCTTTGCATTCACCTAAAATCACAGTGTGGTGTGCCATTTCCTCAGCTGGAATTATTGGTCCCTGGTTCTTTGAGGAAAATGAAGTCGCAGTGATAGTGAATTCGGACCGGTATGTAAACATGTTACAGGAATTTTTTCCCCACGGCTAGATGGGTTGGATTTAGGGGACATTTGGTTCCAACAAGACGGTGCAACTGCACACACTTCAAGAGCATCGATGGCTGTTTTGAGGGAACACTTCCCACAGCGCCTCATCTCAATTAGGAGGGATTTGGAGTGGCCGGCCCGCTCTCCAGATTTGGCCCCTTGTGATTTTTTTCTATGGGGTTTTTTGAAATCCCGTGTTTATGTGAACCGTCCAAGGACCTACAAGATTTGAAGACCAACATCCAGGAAGAAATTGCCAACATAACGCCTGCTATGCCTATATTCAGATTTTACTTGCAGTGGCGAGCAGTTCTGAGTGCAAACCTGTCCCAGTTTGTATTGCAGAAAGAACTTATTTTGACTACATTATCTAATGATGAATACAGGAGTTGTAGTCCAGCATCTGGAGGGTCACATAAAATGACATGGTGGGTTGGATTCAGCCAACGGGCCTTGAATTTCACACACATGCTGTGTAAGGAATCATTTTGCCTACTGTGGTGCTCAGAACCAACCTCACTGCATTAAGTAACCAATAATTTTTATATATCTCCCTTGGCAGAAGGAAAAGGGTTGCAAATCGCAGTTTTGTTAAAAATTATTTTGTCAGAATTACTCGTGCTGATTTTTAAGCATTTGCTGCCCTCTACAGATTGTGGAAGCAGAAGCTGCCACCAGACTCGACTCCTGTCTCAATAAGGAGAGGCTGACGGCGCTGAGTTCAGTCACCAATTTTGTGATGCCTGTGGAGGAGTTTGACTCCGAAGGTGAGCAGAGCCCACAGGGCAAGCCATCAGATTGGAAAGCCCTTATTGCTGTTCCACCTTCCTGCAACTTGGTTTTTATTATGTAAACAGAAGCAGAAGTCTTCCAGAGAAAACTCGATGAAACCACAAAGTTGCTGAGGGAGCTCCAGGATGCGCAGAATGAACGCCTGAGCACCAAACCCCCTCCGAACATGGTTTGCCTCTTAGGCCCATCTTACAAGGAGATGAATTTGGGTAAGTATAGCTCCCAGGATTGCAACCCTTTATGTACTATAGAGTGAAGCACATTAAACTCAGTGCAGCTTGCTTCTGAGCATAGGTCTGTGCTATAAATCTTTTAATATTTATATTTGCCAGGGGTCCTCAAACTAAGGCCCGAGGGCCAGATACAGCCCTCCAAGGTCATTTACCCAGCCCTCGCTCGGGTCAACCTAAGTCTGAAACAACTTGAAGGCACACGGCAACAACAACAATCCTATCTCATCAGCCAAAATCAGGCCCACACTTCCCATTGGAATACTAATAAGTTTATATTTATTAAAATTGTTCTTCATTTTAATTATTGCATTTTAATGTGTTTTTTGCACTACAAATAAGATATGTGCAGTGTGCATAGGAATGCATTCATGCTTTTTTCAAATTATAATCTGGCCCTCCAACAGTTGGCGGAACTGTGACCTGGCCCTCTGTTTAAAAAGTTTGAGGACAACTGCTCTATGTTTTCATTCTACAGGTCTTAGTTTAAGAACTATGGGATGGCCTTTTTCATCTTCAAATTAGTGCTTTGTTTCTAATATATGATGCTATCTGTTGGTGCTTTGCTCTAGGACATGTTTCTCCACCTTCCTAATGCGGCGACCCTTTAATACAGTTCCCCATGTTGTGGTGACCCCCAACCATAAATTATTTTCATTGCTACTTCATAACTGTAATTTTGCTACTGTTAGGAATCGTAACGTAAATATCTCATATGCAGGATGTATTTTCATTGTTACAGATTGAACATAATTAAATCATAGTAATTAATCACAAAAACAATATTTTTAGACCGCATCAGCTCTAGTTTCTTAGATACGGTTATCATTTATATGGGAAAGCAGATGCCAACTGGTAGATGGTGCATGTTAGAGGGAAACTGATGCCATTTTTGGAAACCCCAGGTCAAATATGTCCAGAAACAAGGCTAATATTCAAGGCAGCAAAATGTGTGTTTCCCAATGTAATGTGGTGTGATGTGTTTCATGCTTTCACTTTACCCTTACTATGACTATGGCGAGTCCTGTCTTGCCTCCATACATAAGCAGAGTGCAGATAAGCCCCATAACAATTATGCTGAATGTCTTGTTGCAACTCTTCCAGCGGAGAGAGTGACCACTAACCTCAAAGAGCTGACGCAGCAAGTGGCTCCGGGTGACATTGTGAGCACGTACGGAATCCGCAAAGCAATGGGCATTTCTATCCCTTTGCCAGAGAACACAGAGCGTTTGGTTGATTTAACAGGTAGGTGCAGTACGAAAAACAGAATGGCCATCTGCTGGGAATGCTTTGATTGTGTTTTCCTACATGGCAGAAAGGGATTGGATTGGGTGGTCCTTCTGGTGTCTTCCAACTCTGTGATTCTAATACCTTTTCAAACCCTTTCCCCCCTTCAGCTGTGGCAGAATCTCCAAAAGCTGTCGTTCTCGTTGGAAACGAATGTGAACCAGTTGCTACATAATGCTTCTTGTCATTTTAAAGGTGGGGGTTTTTTTTGGTGTGTGTGTAGTTCAATTTGTGTTTCAATTAATGTTCTCTTGGGGCATTCTTTGTATACTTACATGTTAGGGGAGTGTTGTCAAATTTGAATTCTTAATTAAAAAAAACTTTAATATCAAATTGCTGTTATTTTAATGGTGAGAAGCTTTGAATGAGTTTTATTTGGCACAAGCTTTTGCGGAAAGTGGTCCATTATGAGCAAATGCCAAATAACATGTTCAAATAGAGTCACAAGCTTTTTTTACTTTTTTGATAGAGTTATAAGCTGGCTAGATGCAGGGAACGCCGTGGGTGTAGCGTATCTGGATTTCAGGAAGGCCTTCCTTTGTTAAGGAAGAACAAGCCCTGTGAGGAGCAGTTTAAAGAGCTGGGCATGTTTAGCCTGAAGAAGAGAAGGCTGAGAGGAGACACTATAGCCTTGTATAAATATGTGAGAGGAAGTCATAGGGAGGAGGGAGCAAGCTTGTTTTCTGCTGCCCTTGAGAGTCGGATGCGGAGCAATGGCTTCAAACTACAAGAAAGGAGATTCCATCTGAATATTAGGAAGAACTTCCTAACTGTGAGAGCTGTTCAGCAGTGGAACTCTCTGCCCCAGAGCGTGGTGGAGGCTCCTTCTTTGGAGGCTTTTAAACAGAGGCTGGATGGTCATCTGTTAGGGGTGCTTTAAATGCAATTTTCAAGTTTCTTGGCAGGGGGTTGGACTGGATGGCCCATGAGGTCTCTTCCAACTCTATGATTCTATGATAAGGTCCCCACATGACCTTCTGGCAAGGAAACTAATTCAGTGTGGGCTAGGCAAACTACAGTTAGGTGGATCTGTAATTGGTTAAGTAAACGAACCCAGAGGGTGATTCTCCCCAAGGCTTCCTCTTCATCCTGGAAAGAAGTGACGAGCAGAGTGCCATCAGCAGGGTTCTATCCTGGGCCTGGGCCTGTTCAACATCTTTATTAATGACTTAGATGAAGGGTTAGAAGGCAGGATCATCAAGTTTGCAGACAACACCAAATTGAGACGGAGAGCCAATACTCCAGAAGACAGGAGCAGAATTCAAAACAATATCAACAGATTAGAGCAAGGTCCTCAAACTTTTTAAACAGAGGGCCAGGTCACAGTCCCTCAAACTATTGGAGGGCCGGATTATAATTTGAAAAAATAAATAAATGAATTCCTATGCACACTCCACATATCTTATCTGTAGTGCAAAAAACACGTAAAAGCAATACAATAATTAAAATGAAGAATATTTTAACAAATATAAACTTATTAGTATTTCAATGGGAAGTATGGAGCTGCTTTTGGCTGATGAGATAGGATTGTTGTTGTTGTTGTTATGTGCTTTCAAGTAGTTTCAGACATAGTTGACCCTGAGCAAGGGCCAGGTAAATGACCTTGGAGGGCCATAGTTTGAGGACTCCTGGATTAGAGAGATGATTGCCCAAAACTTAGCAAAATGAAGTTCAACAGGGACAAATGCAAGATACTCCACTTAGGCAGAACAAAATGAAATGTAAAGATATAGAATGGGGAACACCTGGCTCGAGAGCAATGTGTGTGAAAAATATATTTGAGTCCTCATAGACAAGTTGAACATGAGTTAACAAGGTCATGCAGCGGCTAAAAAAGCCAATGAGATTGTCCAGATCCAGGGAAGTCATGCTACCCATGCTCTATTCTGCCTTGGTTAGACCACATCTGGAATTCTGTGTCCAATTCTGGGCACCACAATTGAAGAGAGATACAGACAAGCTGGAATGTGTCCAGAAGAGGGTGACTAAAGTGATCAAGCGTCTGGAGAACAAGCCCCATGAGGAGCAGCTTAAAGAGCTGGGCATGAGGAAGAGAAGGCTGGGAGGAGACATGATGAGGGCCATGTATAAATATGTGAGAGGAAGTCATAGGAGGGAGCAGGCTTGTTTTCTGCTGCCCTGGAAACTAGGAAGCGGAACAATGGTTCCAAACCACAGGAAAGGAGATTCCACCTGAACATTAGGAAGAACTTACTGATTGTGAGAGCTGTTCAGCAGTGGAACTCTCTGCCCCAGAGTGTGGTGGAGGCCCTTTCTTTGGAGGCTTTTAAGCAGAGGCTGGATGGCCATCTGTCAGGGGTGATTTGAATGCAATATTCCTGCTTCTTGGCAGTGGGTTGGACTGGATGGCCCACGAGGTCTCTTCCAACTCCAAGATTATATGAAATGTTTTAAGTGCCACTGAATTAGAATCATAGAGCTGGAAGAGACCTCTTGGGCCATCCAGTCCAACCCCTTGCCAAGAAGGTCTGGATGCTATAAAATAATAACAAGCATTAAAAAAAACACCGAGTACATAATGTGAACAAAAACAGTTTTAAATATTGATTTCATATTTTTCAGTTTCTGTCATCAGTATATACAAGCTTGTTAATAAAGGTTAGGTCATATGAACCCTTTCAAACAAAGCCTTCTCACTTTGCAATTTATTTATTTTTTTGGAAAAAAAACATGTAACAAATGCACAGTAAAATAAGAACAGAAAGCAATATATATAATAATTCACATCAACTTTGCAGATAGAACAAAAACATACATTTTATTGTAATACTATCCAGGACTAGTCTCCTTTGCTACTTCCTGTTATGTCAAGACTTTCCTAAAATCGGACCGTGAGACCACCCTAGAAAAGATTTGTTCCTGTCATGAAACACAGGCATCTATGCCTCCAGGTATAGGTTAATTACATAGTAATTATAACAAACCCAACAGGAATGCATCCAGGGCAAAGCATATTGAAAACAAACTTTGCACGTACTCTAAAGGACTTTTTTAGAAAGCTACAAATCACAGCCCTCAAATGTGGGAAAAGTCTTGGAAGTGATGCCATTAGCTGGATTTCAGAGCAAAGGTTTGTAAGTGCTAGCGCTGCTCCGTTACGTTAGTAGACATTTGCTCAAGGTAAAAGTACAGGTTTTCCCCTGACATGAAGTCCAGTCATGTCTGACTCTGGGTGATGGTACTCATCTCCATTTCTAAGCCGAAGAGCCGGCATTGTCCGTGGACACCTCCAAGGGCATGTGGCCAGCATAACTTCATGGAGCGCCATTAAAGTAAAATACAAACAATGAATGGAAATGAAATTTCAGATTTAGGCTTCAGGATACAGAGTTCTTTGATGCAAGGCAAATTGTTTTTTTTCTTTTCTTCCCATAAAATCCACCATGTTGGACTATACAGAAAAGCCACTGAAATCCACAAGCAGGTGGACAATTTCAACAGAAAGGACGAAACCATGGAAATGAACAAAATCTGGCTACTAGTATTTTAAAAATTCTAAAATTAGGACAGTAAACACTCTGAAAACAGGGGAATTTCAGACAGGAAACAATCAGGGCCAGCTAACACCTAACAAATTACTGCCCCAAGCAGGAATCAACCAGGCCTTGAAGCTCCAAGGCCATTCAGTGCTAATCTGGGTGATTAATTACAAATATATCTATATCCTATTCTTGGACAGCAACTCCCAGCATGTGTGTGTGTGTGTGTGTGTGTGTGTATTCACACATACATATCTATCTATATATATCCTATTCTTGGACTGCAACTCCCAGCATATATATACATACATACACACACACACACACACACACATATCTAGGTAGATAGATATCTCCTATTCTTGGACTGCAACTCCCAGTGTGTGTGTGTGTATATATATATTCACACATGCCTCCAAAAACCCAGTGATTCTGGCCATGAAAACCTTCAACAACAAAATGAATCCTCTTCATCAGTGTAGGTCCCCAATGCTCAAGTTAAAAGGGTTCTGTTGCAATCCTATGAAGAGTTACTCCGGTGAGACCTCCTTTTGAGAAAAAACTTGCTTACAATTCAACTGGTGGGTCTTTCAAAGAGCAACATTTGCACTGAACCTATTGTAAACCATTTAGGCCTTTTTCTCACCTGTAACAATCACGTTTGTTTCTACTTCCCTTTGGTTAAAACAAGTCACTTGTGCTTCAGTCTTCAAGAATCTCTCAATGGGTTGGAGCCAAAAACAACGGACAAAAAGGAAAACAGTTGCTTAATACTATGCTATAAAACAGGCATGGGCAAACTTGGGCCCTCCAGGTGTTTTGGACTTCAACTCCCACAATTCCTAACAGCCTCAGGCCCCTTCCTTTCCCCCCTCAGCCACTTAGTGGTCCGCAAGAACGAAAACATGGTCCACGGCCTCATCATTATTACACCGTTGCCTCGAAACCATGCCACAACAAGAGCGACTGGTCTCGCAAAACCCTCATATAGTGCCAAGACAACGGGGATGTCGGGAGGGGAGAGGTTGACTACCCACAAAAGATTACCACTACCACATCAGCTCTATATTATTAAATATGGTTTTCTGTGGTGTGGGCGAGGAGATGATGACTACTGGATGGCATATGTTCTGTATCAGAAGCTAGAGCTGATGTAGTCTATCCAATGCAATTTTATGAATCGGCACCCCAAATAATCAAACCAAATCTAAAGTTTTGTTCATGGCCGGAATCACTGGGTTGTGTTTTTTCTGAGGTGTATGGCCATGTTCCAGAAGCATTCTCTCCTGATGTTTTGCCTGCATCTATGGCAGGCATCCTCAGTGGCTGTGAGGCCTCACAAATCTAAATCTAAACCCAAATCTAAAGTTGACCAAAAACTGATCCATAACCCTTTTAGTACTAATGTCGGAGAGTGGTCCCTGGTCAAAAAAAGGTTGGGGACCACTGATTTAGAGGAATATAACAAGAAAGGTCTCTGCTCCAGGAAAGTTGGAAAAAGACACTGAAAACTGTATGACGTCTTTGTCCAAGCGCCACCAAACACTTTGGGATTGTACATCACCCAGTGCTCCAAGCTGGTATGGAAAGCCAAGGTCCTTCTATTCCTTTAGTATATGAGGGTTCAATGAAAAGTAATGCCTCCACCTTCGTAACTCCTCAACAGATGGTAGTACTGGCATGTAGCAGGTACTGGCTTGTTCAGTAGACTCTCCTCTACAGTTCCATTTTGGCAGAGAGCCTTAGCATTGAACGGTTGTGTTGTTAAAGTGCGAACCCTGCACAGACGGTCAGTCAATGCAACTCAAGCAATGTGAAGTCATTGACTTCTTGACAGCAGAAGGTGTCATCTCAACATCTTTAAACTTACTCGCCCAGTAATGCACAGTACTCACATCAACATAATCACCATAAATAGCTTGCATTCTCTGATGAATTTCCTTCTGTTGTCAAGAATTCAATGACTGCATGTTGCTTAAGTCGCATTGACCAACCGTCTGCACAGGGTTCTATACTATGCACTGTAAGAACACAATTGTTCAATGCTAAGGCTTCCCGCCAAACTGGAACTGTAGAGGAGAGTCTACTGAACAAACCAGTACCTACCAAATACCAGTACTGCCATTGTTGAGGAGTTACAAAGGTGGAGGCATTATATTGTTGAAGGCTTTCATGGCCGGAATCACTTAGTTGTTGTAGGTTTTTTCGAGCTATATGGCCATGTTCTAGAGGCATTCTCTCCTGACATTTCGCCTGCATCTATGGCAAGCATCCTCAGAGGTAGTGAGACCTCACTACCTCTGAGGATGCTTGCCATAGATGCAGGCAAAACGTCAGGAGAGAATCCCAACATGGACATATAACCCGAAAAAACCTACAACAACCCAGTGGAGGCATTACTTTTCATTCAACTTCCGTAGCTATAGCTGCCTGCACTTTATATAAGATGTTCCTCAAACAGAGTTGCCCAGGAAAAGAATCTGAATTTAAAAGAACACACACACACACACAATGCCGATATTTCACACACTGCTGTAGCATGGGGAAAGGGCACTTTGAGAAGAGCAAATAATGACAGTACAAAAAGAAGGGAAACGAGGAAACACTATCCAAATTAAAAGCACATTCAAGAGCTGACGTCGCAAATGCTCCAAAGCCCAGGGAAGAAAACTCCCCAAATTAAAACATGCATCAAATTGGTGAAGCTCCATCCTTGCACCATTTCTTATAGAAGCAGTAAAAGTAAAGATTGAAGATGCAAAATGAAAATCCTGGGTTGTAGGTACTACTGGCAGTGCAACGCTTCCGGTATCAAAAGTGGCTTCTAGGCAGAGATCCAGTACAGAGTTCAGAGATGCACAAAAGCTCATTGGTAGAGCATACACATCTAATGCACAGAATGTCTCAAATTCCATCTCCAGTTATATTAAAATACATATATATTTCTCCTTGCAGCATTTCCAGTCCTGTTTTACACTTAAGGCAGTGCAGTTCAGTATATAGTCAAATCTCTCTGACAAGTGCAATACTGTGACTAGATCTGACCATGGATGAGGCAGTAGAACCCGTTAACAAGGCAATCTGTTCAAATGAGAATCCGTGAAAGAAAAGCACAAAAAGGCGCCTCTCCGAGTCTTGCATTCCTCTGGATGGGATTGTTTTCAAACTCTTCGAAACAGCCTCCTGTGCCTCTCCCTCTCACTGCAAAGCAGTGCCTCCATCAGGTAATTCACAAACATTTGGAATAAGCTCCTTTACATACAGAGGCAAGATCTTCAGGCTTCACAGGAGGGAAGCTGCTGTTTTCTTAAACAACAAGGACAACAACCCCAGCAAGACTTCTCAGAAAGCTGTTGGTTCAGATCAAAGCGCCTGGGATTTGGCTGTATCAGTGCACACGAAGTAGGTCAACAATTCTCCCTTTCCCTTGACGTTAATGAGTCCCCGGCACTCGCAGGCATAGCCCAAGCTCTCGAGGATTTTGCAGGTCTCTTCTGTAACCTGTAAGAAGGAAGGGATGCAGAGAAACAACACAGGATATTTGGAATAAAGACTTGGTTTTATCAGTAAGATGTGATACTTCTCAACTATGGCACTTATTATTAATAATAATAATAATAATGCAGACAGACTACAAGCAGAGGCATAACACCGTTGCTCAGATGATTCATTGGAACTTGTGCCACAAATCCCATCTGCCTGCGACAAAGAACTGGTGGGATCACAAGCCTGAAAAAGTTACAGAGAATGAACACGTCAAGCTACTCTAGGACTTCCGAATTCAGACAGACTGAGTTTTAGAGCACAGTACTCCTGACCTCACAATCATGTTAAAAAACAAAGTATGGATTGTCGATGTTGCAATCCCAGGCGATAGCAGGATTTAAGAGAAACAACTGGAAAAGCTGAAACGATATGAGGATTTAAAGATGGAACTACAGTGTGCCAATCACCTTTATTGGTGGTACCAGTGGTAATTGGATACTGGGTGCAGTGCCTAAAGCCCTTGGTCTGCACTTAAATACAATCGGTGCTGACAAAATTACCATCTGCCAGCTGCAGAAGGCCACCTTACTGGGATCTGCATGCATTATTTGCCAATACATCACACAGTCCTAGACACCTGGGAAGTGTCCAATGTGTGATCCAATACAACAGCCAGCAGAGTGATCTTCTCTGCTGTTGACTCATTTTGTTGTGTTTCAAATAATAATGATAATAATAATAATAATAATAACAACAACAACAACAACAACAACATCACACAGTCCTAGAAGCCTGGGAAGTGTTCGACTTGTGATCTTTTGATACAAAATCCAGCATATAGATCTCGTTTGCTGTGACATACTGTGTTTTTGTGTTAGTAAAATAATAATAATAATAATAATAATAATAATAACTGCAAAGACTCTGGCACAAGCCAGTAAAGTTGGTCCCAGTGGTGATCGGCACACTGGGTGCAGTGCCTAAAGACCTTGGCCTGCACTTAAAAACAATTGCCTTGACAAAATTACCATCTGTCATCTGCAAAAGGCCACCCTACTCGGATCTGCACACATTATTCACTTGGTCTGCACTTAAACACAATCGGCGCTGACAAGACTACCATCTGCCAGCTGCAGAAGGCCACCTTACTAGGATCTGCACGCATTATTCACCGATACATCACACAGTCCTAGACACTTGGGAAGTATCCACGTGTGATCCAATACAACAGCCAGCAGAGTTATCTTGTTTGATGTGGACTCATCTTGTTGTGTTTCTAATAATAATAATAATCTTTATATCCCGCCACCATCAACCCGAAAGGACTCGGGGTGGCTCACAAGGCACTCCAGGCACATATGACATACAACAGGTAAAAACAATACAAAAGTATAAAACAAGTCACATAAAATTATAACAACAACCCCCGTCAACACATGTAGCATAAAATCAAAATAATACAATTTTAAAATAAAGGTAGATAAAATGAACTGTCGTCAATTCACAAGGTGCCAAGTGTCAGCTTCATATGGGTCCATTCAGCCTACTCAAGGTCAAAGGCCTGTCTGAACATCCATGTTTTCAGGTTGGAACGGAAGGATTGAAGGGTGGGGGCTAATCTATTCTCTTTTGGGAGGGTATTCCAGAGCCAGGAGGGACCACAGAGAAGGCCCCGTCTCTCGTCCCTCGGATTTGAACCTGTCGATCTCAGAGCCCATGCCAGTTCGTAGAAAGAGATGCAGTCTTGAAGATAGGTTGGACCTGAAGTGTATCGGGCTTCATAGGTAATAATCTGCACCCAGGGGCGGCTCGTCCATTACGCGAAGTAAGCGGTCGCAGAACACTTTTTCTGCCAGGGGCACAGAGGCGCCTCTGTAAATGCCCCTCGATTGCCACTTGAGGAGCGCCCCCTCAGCTCACAACAGCCCGTGCAGTCCGGGGGGAGCCTCGGCTTTCTTGCCTCGCTGCCGGGCGATCCTCTTCCCAAAGGGGCCGGGCCCTTGAGCCTCGCCTAGCCCCTCTCGTTCCTGCTCCACCCGGCCACCGGTGCGTGAGCAGAGCCGGCGCTCAATCGTTCTCCATGTTCGCTTTCCACCATTTGGTGAAAAAAAAAAAAAAAAAAAAAAGAAAAAATAGCAAAAAAGAAAGAAAAAGCAGAAAAGGGCTCCCTTTCCCGATCCCCCGGCGCTCCACCCGCCTCCTCTCCTCTCCCCAAACGCGGGTGGGCCAAGGGGCAGAGCCGCCGCGCCTGGCCCGCTTTGGGTCTGGAGGCGTATCTGAAGACCCCAGCGTGCGCACCAAAAGTCGCCTCTTCTCCTGACTTTCTCTTCAGCCATTGGGACCAAGAGAGAGATAAAGAGAGAGAGAGAGCCCCTCCGGCTGGAGGTATCTCCCACCTCCCCTCCCTCCTTTGTTTTTGCACCTACCTTCAGGAAAGGTGGGCATCTCCACCTCTCTCTCTGTCTCCTCTTGGTCCCAATGGCTGAGGAGAAAGTCAGGAGAAGAGGTGACTTTTGGTGCACACGCCGGGGTCTTCAGGCACGCCTCCGGACCCAAAGCGGGACAGGCAAGGGAGCAAATGTGGCAAGTATAGTTACTGGGATGTATAGTTCACCTACAATTAAAGAGCATTCTGAACTCCACCAATGATGATGGGCTAATGATGGGAGCTCACCCCGTCCTGTGGATTCGAACTGTTGACCTCCCAGTCAGCAAGTTCTGTAGCTTAGCGGGTTTAACCTGCTGCACCACCATGGGCCCATTGTCCCTGATATACTGCAAAGAAATGCCAGTCACCTACATGTGGCAGTTTTGCATTATAACTGTAGAAACTTCTTTTTAGAAACCAAATAGTTCAAAAATTTTTTAAATTACCTGGATTTTCCCCAGTTCTCCAGTACTCTCCATTCTGCTGGCAACATTGACAGTGTTTCCCCAGATATCATACTGAGGTTTGCGAGCACCAATGACACCAGCGACCACAGGCCCATGGTTTATACCTGGATGAACAAGAAGAGGAAGAAAGCCTAAGTGTTTGTAAGCCACTGTTCACCAGATTATGTATGGAGTAATAGCAGGAGATGACCTATCTGTATGTGATACGAAGCAGGAGAGACACATGGACCTATTTTCCTTCAGCTGGGCCCACAGCAATAACATCCTTCTCAGGGATTTCCTGAAGACCCCCAGAAGACCCATATGAGTGGTTATTATAGGAAAATAGCTGAAAGTAACTGGACATGTCTCTAGTACTTCCTCTCTATGGAAAAGGACATCTTGAGAGAAGTTCCACACTGAAAGGTTAGGTTTGCAAGGACTGTACCAGAAGACTTCTGCAGCTACATCTTGGAGATACATCTCCAGATGTGGACTTCCGACAATTCTTTGAAAACTCTTTGTGTGATGTTGCTATAAAATCCCTCCCTTTAGAGCAGTGTTTCTCAACCTTCCTAATGCCACGATCCCTTAATACAGTTCCTCAAGTTGTGGTGACCCCAAACCATAACATTATTTTCATTTATATTTCTTAATTTTGCTATTGTTATAAATTGTAATGTAAAAATATCTGATATGCAGGATATATTTTCATTCACTGGACCAAATTGGGCACAAATTTGAATACTGGTGGGGTTGGGGATTGATTTTTGTCATTTGGGAGTTGCAGTTGCCAGGATTTATAGTTCACCTACAATCAAATAGCATTCTTAGCTCCACCAGTGATGGAATTGAACCAAATTTGGCACACAGAATTCCCATGACCAGTAGAAAATACTGGAAGGGTTCGGTGGGCATTGACCTTGAGTTTTGGAGTTGTAGTTTACCTACATCCAGAGAGCACTGTGGACTCAAACAATGATGGATCTGGACCAAACTTGGCACAAATACTCAATATGCCCACACTGGTGGAGTCTGGGGAAAATAGATCTCAGCAACTACAACATTTGGGAGTTGTAGTTGCTGAGATTTATAGTTCACCTACAATCAAAGAGCATTCTGAACCCCACCAATGATAGAACTGGGCCAAACTTCCTACACAGAACCCTCATGACCAACAGAAAATACTGTGGTTTCTGATGGTCTTTGGCGACCCCTTTGACACCCCTCCTCATGGTCCTTCCAAGGGTCCCGACCCCCAGGTTGAGAAACACTAGCTTTGTGTAAATTCTACAAAACAGAATTGTGTTGGAGGAACTAGAGATCCCTGGAGAGGCATTCTCTCTAGCAACATTAGGTGACTGGAGGAAGCTGATATAGAGAATCCTAGAAAGAACATTTTAACTCAAATTAGTCAATAACCAAATCTACCAAAGTCAAAACTGCAAATGGGAAAAGACCAGCTTACCAACTCGGAGCCGGAAATTGTTGAACGAATGCCTGTTGATGCCATCCAGTTTCGTCATCAACGCCATGGCAAATTCCACCATGATGCCGATTTGAGCGTGTTGCCTTTCTTGATCCTACAAACACAACACAGAAGGGAAGTGTTAAGGAAACCATAGCATTATGGAATTACAGAAACATTCAGCAACTTTTTGCACCGAAGGATTATAGGAAAAACAACATCAAATCAAAGCAGCCAGTCTCTGGTTACATAGCAAAATAATTCTCCAAGACCCAGACAAAAATCCCAATGACCAGCAAACTTACCAGATTATTCTCTTGTCCTGGTGAAACGCAGAGCCCAGAGGCGGCCATGTATGTACTCCCAATTGTTTTTATTTTTTCAACACCACTGAATTTAGGTTTCAGCAGGAGCTGTTTGGAAATGGGATAAAAATGTTATTCACACCATACTGTTGCTCTGCGACTTTTATATCTTAGTAGCTAAACCCAACCACGCTTCACTGTGGCTCCGTCTGATATGAAATGAATGAGAGAGTAAATAAAAGTATTGTTGCGAACATAGATTCACCGAGAAAACACATAATTCAGTTTAATGCCCTGCTTTGTGTTGCTGTGTCTATGTGGAATGAAAGGAAAAGAAAGAAAAAAAAGGTTTTAAGCAGAAATCTTTTTTAAATTGTGGATCAACTACATTTATAGTTTGTCAATTTTCTGTATAAACCTAAAGATCTAATGGTTTACCAACTCTGCAGCATGCGACATATAAGTACCCCTGAGAGAAGCAATTGTTTTCTAAATTCAAACTGCACACTTGCAAAGATTTCCCCTGTGGTATTATTGATAGTCATAGTGAAGGCAAGGCATACTGGAAATTGAAATTGTTAGTACTCAAATGCCATGTCAGTCGGTATGAGTGGCATGCCACTAAGAACCAATCATACCTCAGCTTTCATTTCTTATACTGTTAAGGTGAAATGACAACTGCCATGTGATTTGTTGGTTTTTCTTATACTGCTGAGGTAAAAGGAAAGCTGCACTGTGATTGGTTGTTATTTTTTCTTCTGCAGAGGCAAAATGAAAGCTGCTCTGGGATAGGTTGTTATTTCTTTTACTGCTGAGGTAAAAGGAAAGCTACACGGCGATTAGTTGTTAGAGCTCTGTTTTAATTTCTTACACTGCTGAGGTAAAATGAAAGCTAGGCTGTGAGTGGTTGTGTTGGGCAACACAGATTCCACTTTGTCTATTTGCGGACTGCTTACTTTTATTTGTTTGTTTGTTTGTTTACCACATTTGTATACCGCCTTTCTCAGCCCGGAGGCGATTCAAGGTGGTTTTCCTCTAAATACACGCGCATATTCGAATGCAATGTTGGGTTGAAATTTTGTTTTACTATAAAAAGATGTGTGTATTGGAATGCAACGTTGTGTCAAAATGTCAATATATAAAAATTAGAGGCCAGGTTTTCCACAAAAAAATAAAAGGTAACGTAGAGGAAGGGCTTCTGGAAATCTTCAAACAGACCTGACCTTCCCAGCAAATTTCATAATTTCTATAGCTACCCAAGTACAAAACAGAAAGGAAAGATCATAAGATTTAATCAATTCTACTGAGTCCAGAAGCTACACAATAATACTAATAACAACAACTTTCAAGGTCTTTCACTTTTATCTGCACCTGGCCTCCATCCTCTTGTCGCTACATGCTTTTAAATCTTTGGCTGATGAAGAAATGTGTGTTTCAAAAACCTGAACAAAGAGTTTTGTGTTTTTAACTGGCCTAACAAAGGAAGTGTCACAATATAGGCTTTGGAATCAGGTTAATTTCTATTGAATTTGCACAATATGAGAAGAGTTTCCTTCACTCTACTGCAAGATCCAAAGTACAAAGCCTCCCAAAACTAAACCAACACAAGCTGAGAAATACCTCATCGAAGTCGGCAATGATTTCGTTGAGAAGCCGAAGGCACTCCAGGCCTTCTTTGTTGACGTCACATTCGGTGTAGAATACTTTGAAGTCGGGGACTGATGCAAACATCACACACACACAGTCGTAAGACTGGTGGTACCAATCCTGCAGGAAATGCAATAAGACTTTCATAATATTGGTGCTCACAACCATTCCTTTTCCTTTAACACAACCTCATGCAATTTAGGAGGATACCAATAGATACTAAAACCACATACATTCAGACAAATTTCTTCACATATGGCATGCAAGGAGAACTTTTTGGTCAGAAGACTGTAATATATGTTGGGATTCAACCCCACTCTGCCCAAGTCTCCAGTCCTCAATGAGGAAGAGTTTAGTTAGCTTAGTATAGACTAAGAGTTTCCCTGTATGACAGCTGGGAATGTATGAGGGTTGAATGAAAAGTAATGCCCCCACCGTAACTCCTCAACAGATGGCAGTACTGGTATTTGGTAGGTACTGGCTTGTTCAGTAGACTCTCCTCTACAGTTCCATTTGGCGGGAAGCCTTAGCATTGAATGCCTGTGTTGTTAAAGTGCGAAGTATGGAACCCTGCGTAGACGGTTGGTCAATGCGACTTAAGCAACGTGCAGTCATTGAATTCTTGACAGCAGAAGGTGTCACCATTAAGGAGATCTATCAGAGAATGCAAGCTGTTTATGGTGATTGTGTTGATGAGAGTACTGTGCGTCATTGGGCGAGAAAATTTAAAAATTTTGAGGTGGGATCATCTGACTTGCGTGACAAACAAAGAGTCGGACGTCCTGTGACAGCAACCACCGAGTTTCACAAGCAAAAGGTTGACAGATTGATCCAGGATGATTGTCATATCACCCAGAGAGAAATTTCAAGCATAATTGGCATTTCACAAGAACGTATGGGTCATGTTATTGCTTTGCTTGGCTATCAGAAGATCTGTGCACGATGGGTACCCAGGATGCTGATGGTTGGAATGAAAGCGCACAGGCTTGAAACTTCAGAGAGTGGATCTCACCACTGTATGACATCCTCCATACAGTCCAGATTTAGCACTGTGTGACTTCCATCTATTCCTGATAATGAAAGAAGATCTGCGGGGACATCATTATGCTTCTGATGAAGACATTGTGAGAACTGTGAGACGCTGGTTGACTTGTTCCGTGACAGCTTCAGAAAGCTTGTTCATCATTGACAGAAATGTATCCAATTGTCTGGTGATTATGTTGAAAAGTGAATAGTGGTAGTTAAAGAGCACATTTTAAGGATTATTTCTGCATTCGATTTATTAAAATATTCCCATCCACACCCAAGAAATGAATGTGGAGGCATTACTTTTCATTCAACCCTCGTATCTTTTTCTTCTCTTCTCACTATTTCTGCTCTCATTCTGATGGTTGTTTAAAATGGATACTTTTCTACTGCAACCTTTTTCTGCCTTCTTACACTTTAGTCTGGAGAGTATGTGCTGTGTGCTTTGAGTATAAACTAAAATAATGTTATGGTTGGGGGTCACCACAACATGAGGAACTACATTAAGGGGTCGCAGCATTAGGAAGGTTGAGAATCACTGGCTTATCCTGGTCATTTAAGGAAGAAGCACTGAACTTGGCCTTTTTGAATGACTTTCCCCTCTCCGTGAAAGAACCCTCATTTATCCAAAAATCCATACTTTTTGATCCTTAAACCTACCCTCGACTTATACGTGAGACTGACTTATACACGAGTATATATGCTACATCGCAAACTACACATCTGCTATTAGTAGTTTGGATCCTAGTTCTTTGGCTTCTTAATGGTTACTTTTCAGTGCCCTGAGAGTTGAGAGAGGTGAAGAACAGCCCCATAATGTGGTCTCTTAAAAAACCAGAATGCAAACACTTCCCAAAGAACAAATGCAGCGCAATGACGTCGTTGTAATTCTTCCGCACCTCGTTTAACTTGTTGTCCCCAATAAAGTGGGCAGCGACGTGGGCCGGAAGGACATTTTCCAGCAGAAGCCTGTTGACGTTCTCCATGGTTTCAAAAGACTCGTGCTCTTTTTTAAATTTATTCTTCTGGAGGCAGTCCAGCCGACAGTAATAGTCTATCTGCAACCAAGCAAAGCAGTCATGAAATGCATCTATGCCATAAACAACCACTTAGGTCTTTTCCATTTTGCGGTTATAAATACAATCATAGAATCATAGAGTTGGAAGAGACCTCATGGGCCATCCGGTCCAACCACCTGCCGAGAAGCAGGAAAATCGCATTCAAACCACCCCCGACAGATGGCCATCCAGCCTCTGTTTAAAAGCTTTCAAAGAAGGAGCCTCCACCAAGGAAGCAATGGTGAGATGAGGAGAGGTTTTTGTTTTTTTTCCGTGACAGGAACAACTTGAGAAATTGCAAGTTGCTTCTGGTGTGAGATAATTGCAAGGACGTTGCCCAGGGGACGGCAGGATGTTTTGATGTTTTACCATCCTCATTGGAGGCTTCTCTCATGTCCCCGCATGGGGAGCCGGAGCTCACAAAGGGAGCTCATCCGCGCTCTCCCTGGATTTGAATCTGTGACCTGTCAGTCTTCATTCCTGCCGGCACAAGGGTTTAACCCACTGCGCTACCGGGTGCTCCTTATGAGGAGAGACAAAATGGTGATACTCATTTACCAATGAAATTGAATTATATCTATTGAAATTCCATAACTTATTCAAAATAAGTGCACCATAACCTTATTGAAAAGGTAAAAATGATGTAACATCAGTTGGCAAATGTGACTCTCCACGGATATGTGGAGACCACCTTTTGAAAACCACTGGTCAAGAAAAGCATGGCCTTGTTAAAAGTCAACTCTTTGAAGAACTGATATTCACAAGCATTCATGTAATGGCACACAGGTAACTCAGCTGTCTTTAACTGCCAAGGATAAAGACATACCACTACAAAAATATATATTTGGTTAGCAGAGGATGGTTGTTTCTTTGTAGTTGAAGTTGCCCAAAAAGATATACACTCCCTTAAAAACTCCTAGTTAAAATATGTATTCAAGAGACAAAACAAAGTAGTCTTCTTTAAAAATAACATCTCAGGTTTACTAACGAACTTCTTGTATATATCCAGCATTCTAGTCCATAGTCCTATGTCTTTAAGCATATACGAGGGGTATTTTTTAAGTAAGGTCCGTTTTGTTGCAGACACTAGTAGTTCGCGTGCATACCGCAACGAGCGTGAGCGTCGTGTACTGGCATGCCTCAGGAACAACTGTGCTCAGTTTCCGCTCTGTAGCTAACCTGTACGGTTCTGTTCTGTGCTTTAAAAATGTTTAAGACTATCAACTCACCCTCCGCATGTGAGGTTCGCTCAGTGATACGGTTTTTGTCAGCAAGGAACCTGCCTGCTGCAGAAATCCATTGACAGATTTGTGAAGTGTACGGTGATACTGTTATGAGTGAAAGCAAAGTGCGTAAGTGGGTACGACAGTTCAAAGATGGCCGTGACAACATCCATGATGAGGACCGCTCCGGTCGCCCTTCTTTGATTACAGATGATTTGATTTGATCGCACACTCAAATCTTTGGTTTTTGTGGTCCTCTGTTAGGAGTTTCGGGATCCAACGGGAGCACAGTTTCCTAAACTTTAGGTGTTCAGAAGCAATGTTGTAAAGCACTGATCTCGACATGTCAGGAAATTCGTTTGAGAGACCTGTTATTGTGAAATGCCTGTTCTCACGAATCCTCGCTTCAACTGAAGCCACCAAATCGTCTGTAATCAAAGAAGGGCGACCGGAGTGGTCCTCATCATGGACGTTGTCACGGCCATCTTTGAATTGTCATACCTACTTACACTCTTTGCTTTCACTCATAACAGTATCACTGTACACTTCACAAATCTGTCAATGAATTTCTGCTGCAAGCAGGTTCCTTGCTGACAAAAACCGTATCACTGAGCGAACCTCACATGCGGAGGGTGAGTTGATAGCCTTAAACATTTTTAAAGCACAGAACAGAACCATACAGGTGAGCTACAGAGCGGAAACTGAGCAGTTGTTCCCGAGGCATGCCGGTACACGACGCACGCGCTCATTGCAGTATGTGTGCGAACTACTAGTGTCTACAACAAAACGGACCTCACTTAAAAAATACCCCTCGTAGATATAGTCCAAACTGTATAATTCAAGTCTGAAAGGAGACAAACTGCATCCACCTCCACTGAGGTCTAAAAGGAAACTGTACTAAAGTCCAAACAGCAACATGCATCCACCTCAGTAATTGGTTGCTTCTAAGTACTGGAAAAGAATTATGGAACAGTGTCAAGGAGGAAACCCCTTCTTGCATATCTAATAAGAAAATCAATTCATTAAAAATGCATGTTCGGAAAGGAAGAAAACACAATGCAGATGAATTAAGAAAGCATTACAGAGGTCACAGATGTACAAGGACACTACAACAAAACATACCTGTTTTGAGAGCAGAACCAAAGTTATGTAAAACAGGGCCAAGTATAAATTTGTCATTATTGTGGGATCTTCCATGAAAAACCTAGAATAAAAGCAGAATAATAACATATAAGGTAAATCCCCAGGAATATAATTAGAAGCTTGAAAATATGACTATTTTGGACTGCAATTTCAAGGAAATCCCAACCACGGTTACTATTGTCCATTCTAGCTGTGAGATACTTACTTTACTTATTTAGATGATCCCTCTTTGTCCGAGTAGGATTGTCTTCCAAGACTGGTGTACTGGCGATGGGTACATAGGTGACTGTGGAGCCCTATTCTTGACCTGCATCTTCTCCGCAGTGAGGGCATTGGTTTCCAGGTGGAAGGCAGGGTTGGCTTGACGTGCCTTCCTCTTGGCACATTTCTCTCTTTCGCCCTCCATTCGTGCCTCTTCAAATTCTACAGCACTGCTGGTCACAGCTGACCTCCAGCTGGAGCGCTCAAGAGCCAGGGCTTCCCAGTTCTCAGTGTCTATGCCAGAGTTTTTAAGGTTGGCTTTGAGCCCATCTTTAAATCTCTTTTCCTGTCCTCCAACATTCCGTTTTCCGTTCTTGAGTTCGGAGTACAGCAACTGCTTTGGGAGACAGTGGTCGGGCATTCAGACAACGTGGCCGATCCAACAGAGTTGATGGCGAAGGACCATCGCTTCAATGCTGGTGGTCTTTGCCTCTTCCAGCACACTGACATTTGTCTGCCTGTTTTCCCAGGAGATTTGCAATATTTTTCGGAGGCAACGCTGGTGGAATCGTTCTAGGATTTGCATGTGACGTCTGTAGACTGTCCACGTCTCACAGGCGTATAGCAGATGGGAGGACAATAGCTTTATAAACAAGCACCTTGGTTTCCCTATGGATGTCCCAGTCCTCAAACACTCTCTGCTTCATTCGGAAAAATGCTGCACACGCAGAGCTCAGGCAGTGTTGTATTTCAGTGTCAATTTTGACTTTTGTGGAGAGGTGGCTGCCAAGGTAGCGGAAATGGTCAACATTTTCTAATGTCACACCATTAAGCTGTATTTCTGACATTGGAGAGGGATTGGCTAGTGACTGCTGGAACAGCACTTTGGTTTTCTCCATGTTCAATTACAGGCTGAGCTTCTCGTATGCTTCTGCAAAGGTGTTCAGAGTTGCTTGTAGGTCTTCTTCTGAATGTGCACCAACGATGTTGCTATCAGCATATTGGAGTTCTATAACAGATGTTATTGTAACCTTGGTTTTGGCTTTCAGTCTGCTGAGGTTAAATAGCTTGCCATCTGTCTGATAGATGATTTCCACTCCCATGGGAAGCTTCCCATCAACAAGATGAAGTATCATAGTGATGAAGATGGAAAATAAGGTTGGGGCAATAACACATCCCTGCTTGACACCTGATTCCGCCTTAAATGGGTCACTTTGGGAGCCATTGCTGTCCAAGACTGTTGCCATCATGTCATCATGGAGAAGCAGCAGGATGTTCACCAATTTGTTAGGGCACCTGATTTTTTGGAGGATGGTCCAGTGAGCGCTGCGATTCACTGTGTTGAATGCAGCTGTGAGATACAACGAGTTGTGTTGGGAAAGAGTAACTTATCCAAGCTCTGTAAAGGAAGTCTGTTCTTTTCAACTGAAAATGACAAAACATTTCAAGATCCTTAAATGGGAAAGAAGGACTTGCCTAATGATATCATAAAACACCTGATAGGAAGCTGTGGCACAAACGGAATTGCTGGTCTTAGAAAGTCATTATTGCAGCATTTTTGGTGGTGAAAGGAATTTTCCTCGTGTAGATTTAAAATGTCACCACATTCCAGAATCAGCTTTTGTCTGATGGAGGTTTTTCTTCTCAAAGGAAAGGTCAATCCCAAGCACTGCAGTCTACAATTACACTCAGCTTACCATGAGCTTACAGAGCATGAGCTTACAGGAACAAGATCTCCTACCTTGTGGTGGAATTGCTGTGGTTGGTGCTCCATGTGTGTCTGGCATTAAATACAATGAAATAGCCGATGACCGCTCCTGACAAAAGCATAAGCTTGAGTTCAAAACTCATGCGGAGGAAGACGGAGCACGCAATGAAACCCAGGAGGCAGCAGTAGGTATAATACTGGAACAGAAGAGTTTAAGTAATTTTCAGCAAACTTCTTTGGCACTCTTAAATAAAAATGTTTGTATAGGCACAAGCTTTCATGAATTCCAATCCACTTTCCAATACATAGAATATAATCTTTAGTTATCTATTATAGTGAAAACAACCAGGGAAGCTGGTTGCAGAAGGTGACCATTATGTTATAGGTTGACTGTCCCTTATCTAAATCCACAGCATCAGAAAAGTTTGGCTCTTGGACATTTTTGGTTTTTGAAATATTTGGATATACCAGTGGTTCTCAATTTTCCCCTTAATACACTTCCTCATGTTGTGGTGACCCCCAAACATGAAATTATTTTTGTTGTCCCTTCACAACTGTAATTTTGTTACTGTTGTGAGTCGTAATGTAAATATCTGATATGCAGGATGTATTTTCAGTCACGGGACCAAATTTGGCACAAATACCCGGTATGCCCAAATTTGAATACTGGTGGGATTGGGGAGATTGATTTTGTCATTTGGGAGTTGTAGTTCCTGGGATTTATAGTTCACCTACAATCAAAGAGCATTCTGAATTCCACCAACAAAAGAATTGAACCAAACTTGGAACACAGAACTCCTGTGACCAACAGAAAATATTTACATTACGACTCACAACAGTAACAAAATTACAGTTGTGAAGGGTTTGGTGGGCATTGACTTTGAGATTTGGAGTTGTAGTTCACCTACTTCCAGAGAGCACTGTGGACTCAAACAATGATGGATCTGGACCGAATGTGGCACAAATACTCAATATGCCCAAATGTGAACACTGGTGGAGTTTGAAGAAAATAGACCTTGACATTTGGGAGTTGTAGTTGCTGGGTTTTACAGTTCGCCCACAACCAAAGAGCATTCTGAACCCCACGAATGATATAATTGGGCCAAACTTCCCACACAGAACCCTCATGACCAACAGAAAATATTGTGTTTTCTGATTGTTTTTGGCAACCCCTCTGGCACCCCCTCGTGAACCCCAGGTCGAGAAACACTGGCATATACAGAATGAACTTTTGTGGAGATTACACCCAGGTTCATTTTTGGCAACCCCTCTGGCACCCCCTCATGAACCCCAGGTCGAGAAACACTGGCATATACAGAATGAACTTTTGTGGAGATTACACCCAGGTTCATTTCTGTTTCAACTTGTATACGTAGTCTGAAGATTATTTTATGCACAAAAGTTTTAATCCTCTTCTGCATGAAACAAGGTTTGTGTACACTGAGACATCTGAAAGCAAATGTGCCACTGTCTCAGCCATTCATGTGGACAATTTTGGAACATTTCAAATTTTGGATTTCTATATGGAACCAGATATCAAAACATCCTTGCAAAAAGAACAAAACTATTTGTTGCACTCCAGGCCAGGAAACTCCTCTGTACTTAATCACTACACTCAGGCATGTAGCCGGGGGGGGGGGGGCTTGGGGGGCTTCAGCCCCCCCCCCCCCGAAATTCTCATGGTGGTCCGCGAGAAGGCCTTACTGGTACATTATTTAAACTGTTATGTTTATTCATATCATGATCTGATCACCATGCTCAATATATCCCATATGCATGGGGGTATTGGGGTAACGATACAAAAGGTTTGCTAGGGTAGACCCTCTTTCATTCAGACTCAGCCCCCCCCCCCCCCCCCCCCCCGCCGAATCAAAATCCTGGCTACGGGCCTGACTACACTCCAGTCCAAATTAAATCAGCAAAACAGTTTATTAAAGATTGTATTAAAAGCACTGTAGCAAAAATAGTAAAAACTTCCAAGTCTGTAAATAGTCTACAAGGTTCAAGGTACAAGAATAATCCCAAATCCCAAAGCAACAGGACATCCAGCACAGGAGTACAAGAAAACTAGGAAGTACAAATAATCCAGTACAAAAATCCAGGAACTATCTTGCAAGCACGAAACAGGAGCAAACACATGAAACTAGAATTCCCTCAGAAGGCTTGACTAGGACTTGTCAAGAGCTGTTGCCTCAATTACCAATGTTGAACAGAAAATCTCCCCAGCCTCTCCAATATACACATGAAATCATGCCGTCTCCCATTACTTCCTGATACGGGCCTCTGCTCTAACAAGAGCTGTGACCTTTGGAGATTCTGTTGAGCAGCACAATGTTTATGAAAACCAAGTATCCTATCAACTAGCTCATTATCTTGAAACTCATTATCCTCTCCACCTAGGATTTCAGCCTCTGAACTCGTTTCCCTAGAGAACGACCCTTCTGCACCATCTCGGAACCTCTCTGGAATGTGACCTTCACTAACTGCTGGAGACAAAGACTGATTTTTTCAAGACTAAAAATCTCATGTTGGCTTGCATGCCCAGAGTTCCTGTGTTCCACTTCCCCATTTATAATCAGTATCAGCCACAACCATGGGCTGAACTACAACACAATAAACACACATATGTTGTGAAATGACATCTGCTATTCAGGACATACTTCTGAAGTTGTCAGACAATGAGTTGGTCTTGGTTTTGTTCTCATGGACAGAGGTGCTAGATGTACTTTGTAGAGTTCTACACTGGATGTACACAAAATTGTTGAGGTAATCGGCTTATTAGTACACTAGCCGTCTCCTGTCACGCATTGCTGTGGCCCACGTTGGTGGTCATGGGGGTTCTGTGTGGGAGGTTTGGCCCAATTCTATCGTCGGTGGGGTTCAGAATGCTCTGTGATTGTAGGTGAACTACAAATCCCAGCAACTACAAATGTCAAGATTCTATTTTCCCCAAACTCCACCAGTGGTCACATTTGGGCATATTGTGTATTCATGTAGAGTTTGGTCCAGATCCATCATTGTTTGAGTCCACGGTGCTCTCTGGATGTAGGTGAACTACAACTCCAAAACTCAAGGTCAATGCCCACCAAACTCTTCCAGTATTCTCTGTTTGTCATAGGAGTTCTGTGTGCCAAGATTGGTTCAATTCTATCGTTGGTGGAGTTCAGAATGCTCTTTGATTGTAGGGGAACTAAAAATCCCAGCAATTACAACTCCCAAATGACAAAATCAATTTTTTTGAGTGAAGGACATACATTGGGTTGTGTCCAAATTTGGTGTCAATCCATCCAGTGGTTTTTGAGTTCAGTTAACCCCACAAACGAACATTACATTTTTATTTATATAGATATATAGTGTGTTATTGTTCAGCTTTACTTACCGAATAGGTCATAGCTTCTTTGCTGCATACGGTGTCATTTGCAGAAGAGCTATTTGTCTCCATCTGTTTTGTCAGGATGGAAAGAGAAGCAAAAAAATTATTTATTTGGTGGAATGGGACCCAACAATGCAGAAAGTGAAATTATTCATGAACTGTACTCTTTAGTGATTGGCTTGTGCAAATGAAAGCAGATATGAACTTAATACAGTGAGCTCATGGTATCTGCTGGATTTGGTTCTAAGACTCCCTGTGGATAACAAAACCCATAGACACTCACATCCCATTATATACAACAGTGGAGTAAAATGGTGCCCGTCATATAAAATGGCAAAATCAAGGTGTGCTTTTTGGAATTTTAAACCATATTTTTGAGCCACAGATGATTGAATCCATGGATGAGGGGATCAGCTTTCAGATCAGAGAAGCTCAAGGATGGCCGTCTTTCTGGCACCAATTCCATTTGTTATTGACACATTCGTTATTGACACATGCCCAATGTGGAACACATCTCACCACACTAAAACAGTAGATGTGGCTCTCAATGAGACATGCCGCATTATCACGGGGTGTCTGCGCCCTACACCACTGGAGAAATTACACTGCTTAGCCGGTATTGCACCACCTGACATCCGCCGGGAAGTAGCAGCCAATAGTGAAAGGACCAAGGCAGAGACATCTCCAGCTCATCCCTTGTTTGGGTATCAGCCAGCACGTCAACGACTTAAATCTAGAAATAGTTTTCTAAGATCTACAGAGACACTCGCTGGAACACCTCAGCAAGCGAGAGTCCAAAAGTGGCAGGTTCAAAACCAGAACCTCAACCAATGGCTGATACCAAATGAGAGATTCCCTCTTGGGCACACAGAAGACGGGGCGACTTGGAAGGCGCTGAACAGACTGCGCTCTGGCACCACGAGATGCAGAGCCAACCTCAAGAAATGGGGCCACAAAGTGGAATCCACGACATGCGAGTATGTAGAAGAGTAAACTACAGACCACCTGCTGCAATGCAACCTGAGCCCTGCCACATGCAAAATGGAGGACCTCCTTGCGGCAACACCAGAGGCACTCCAAGTGGCCAGCTACTGGTCAAAGGACATTTAATCAACTACCAAACTCGCAAATTTTGTATTTTGCCTGTTTGTTTGTTTGTTTGTTTTGTTCTGTTAGAAATGTAATACAATTGACTGGTTGCCCTGACACGACAAATAAATTGCCTTAAGAATGGGATCAGTGGCATATAATAAAAAAGTAAAATGCAATTTTAAAAAGCCCTAGTCGTAATGAATTCATCATTTGGGCTCAATTTAAATATGCTAAATTAGGAAATGTGCAGAATATGTTCCTTGAGGTTAGTAGTATGAATGGCACCTCCCTCCAAATCTTGTTGAACTTCAGTTCTCATCAACACCAGCCAATCTGGATTCCACTGAGATTTTAAGAGATAACATAGGACAGAAAGAAGAAGAGGAGGAGGCCAGTAAAGGTGATCCCAGAGGTGATCAGCACACTGGATGCAGCGCCTAAAAACCTTGGCTTGCACTTTAAAACAATCGCAACTGACAAAATTACCATCTGTCAGCTACAAAAGGCCATCCTACTTGGATATGCACATCACACAGTTCTAGACACTTGGGAAGTGTCCAATGTGTGATCAAATACAAAAGCCAGCATAGTGATCTCGTTTGCTATGTATCAATCTTGTCATGTATATAATAATAATAATAATAATAATAATAATAATAATAATAATAATAATAATACATCACACAGTCCTAGACGCTTGAGAAGTGTTAGACTTGTGATTTTGTGATACGAAATTCAGCATATAGATCTCATTTGCTGTGACATACTGTGGTTTTGTGTCAGTAAAATAATAATAATAATAATAATAATAATAATAATAATAATGCTGTGTCATGCTGTGTTTTGCGTTAGAACAACTACTACTACTACTTATGAGGATTTTAAGACAGAACTGCAAAGACTCTGGCACAAGCCAGTCAAGGTGGTCCCAGTGGTGATTGGCACACTGGGTGCAGTGCCTAAAGACCTTGGCCTGCACTTAAAAACAATCAGCACTGACAAAATCACCACCTGCCAGCTGCAAAAGGCCACCTTTACTGGGATCTGCACACATTATTCGCCAATACTTCACACGGTTCTAGACACTTGGGAAGTCTCCGACGTGTGATCAAATACAAAAGCCAGGATAGTGACCTCACAACCTGAGGATGCCTGCCACAGATGCAGGTGAAACGTCAGGAGAGAACATGGCCATACAACCCAGTGATTCCGGCCATGAAAGCCTTCGACAATGCATAGTGATCTTGTTTACTGTGTACTGATCTTGTTGTGTATATGTATATGATGATGATGATGATCTGCACGCATTATTCGCCGACACATCACACATTCCTAGACACTTGAGAAGTGTCTGATGTGTGATCCAATACAACAGCCAGCAGTGATCTTGTCTGTTATGGGCTCATCTTGTTGTGTTTCAAATAATAATTATAATAACAACAACAACAATAACAATAATAATAATAATATATATTTTTTTAAAAAACAGGGAATTTGTGGGAAAACAGAGAAAGGAAATGGGAATGCTAGATAGCAAGAAGCTGAGTGGTCATCTGTTGGGGGGTGCTTTGGTTATGTTTTCCTGCATGGCAGGGGATTGGACTGGATGGCCTTTGTGGTCTTTCACGATCCAAGTGTGTCAAACAATCAAAATATTATGTTGCATTTTGAAGTGGGATTCTGAAAATACGATAAGTTTGTGCTCTAAAACGAAAGCAAACAACGATTTGGTTTGGTTTTTTACTCACTTGGATAGTAAGTGGTGTAGTACAGTTGTCATGGGGCTGGCGTGCAGGCTAAGGAAAACATTAAAAACAAGTTAGAGAAGTCATTGTCAGAATTCCATACACATGGCAACTTCATTACAAAGGACAAGAGGGACCAATCTTAACTATTTAAAAAGCAGCCGAACCAGGAAGGCTGAGCAGTTCAAGGAATACTCAGAGAGTGTGTATGCAAAATACTCCATAAACCCATAAATCGGATCAAATATAACTTCTGCTCAAGTACAAACCAAACCACCACACTTCCCAACTGCAATGCATGTTATTGATCTCTCTTGGTAAGCAGCACTATGGGGTACGTTAGATTGGGTTGTCAAGGACAGCCAGGCTGAAGTAACTATAACTTTAACCATTTGTCAAGATGGTACCAACTTCATTGCCAAGGTTTGGCAGAGAGCCACGGCGACACACTTTCCTGTTGCCTGAATGGATATCTACTGCAAGAACAATTTGGTAAACAATAGTTGGGGGCCTCTGTTTTTGTGGCTACACGTCCCAGATGGCAGCAAAGTTGGACCAATGTCACCTTAAAATCCATTTTGACAACCAGGTAATTGCCCTTCATTGGAGTCATCATTCTTTTGGATTCACTCTCGCACTCTTGTAGGAGCTGCGGTGGCACAATGAGTTAAACCCTTGTGCCGGCTGAACTGCTGACCTGAAGGCCGGAGGTTCGAATCAGCGAGACGGAGGTGAGCTCCATTTGTCAGCTCCAGCTTCCCTTGCAGGGACATGAGAGAAGCCTTTTACATCTGGGAGTCTGTCCCCTGTGCAACATCCTTGCAGATGGCCAATTTTCTCACACCAGAAGCAACTTTTAGTTTATCAAGTTGCATCTGACATGATAAAAAAGCAAAACTCTTAAACCAACATGGAAGTTGTTAGCCACTAACAGACACCAATGCCAGAGATACAGTTTAATGGTGTAACATTAGAAAATGTTGACCATTTTCGCTACCTTGGCAGCCACCTCTCCACCAAAGTCAACATTGACACCGAAATACAACACCGCCTGATCTCTGCAAGTGCAGCATTTTTCCGAATGAAGCAGAGAGTGTTTGAGGACCGGGACATCTGTAGGGAAACCAAGGTGCTTGTTTATAAAGCTATTGTCCTCCCAACCCTGCTATATGCCTGCAAAATGTGGACTGTCTACAGATGTCACATGCAACTCCTGGAACGATTCCATCAGTGCTGCCTTTGGAAAATCCTGCAAATATTTTGGGAAGACAGGCGGACACACGTAAGCGTGCTGGAAGAAGCAAAAACTACCAGCATTGAAGCGATGGTCCTCCACCATCAACTCCACTGAACCGACCACGTTGTCCAGATGCCCGACCACTGTCTCCCAAAGCAGTTGCTCTACTCTGAACTCAAGAACGGAAAAAGGAATGTTGGAGGACAGGAAAAGAGATTGAAAGATGGGCTCAAAGCCAACCTTAAGAACTCTGGCATAGACACTGAGAACTGGGAAGTCCTGGCCCTTGAGCGCTCCAGCTGAAGTTCAACTGTGACCAGCAGTGCTGCAGAATTTGAAGAGGCACAAATAAAGGGTGAAAGAGAGATACGTGCCAAGAGGAAGGCGCATCAAGCCAACCCCGACCAGGTTCACCTTCCACCTGGAAACCAATGCCCTCACTGCGAGAGAAGATGCAGATCAAGAATAGGTCTCCACAGTCACCTATGGACCCACCAGAACATTGATCCTGGAAGACAATCCTACTCGGCGAAAGAGGGATCGCCTAAGTAAGTAGCCACTAATAGCAAGGCACTGCTAATAGTCTCTAACAGCTTCCATGTTGGTGCAAGAGTGAATCTGCTTTCGTACAATATAGAAATATTTAATACTGATATTGTACTATGCTAATGATATAATATGTTGTATGTATTTATATCTTGTAATCTGCTCTGAGTCCCCTTCGGGGTGAGAAGGGCGGCATATAAATGTCATAAATAAATAAATAAATAAATTTAGCTTTTATTGTAAACATGAAAGGGTGTGTATCACTTAGGATAATTTATTTTTTTGTCGTGTCAGGAGCAACCTGAGGAACTGCAAGTTGCTTCTGGTGTGAGAGAATTGGCCGTCTGCAAGGACGTTGCCCAGGGGACGCCCGGATGATTTTGATGTTTTTATCATCCTTGTGGGAGGCTTCTCTCATGTCCCCGCATGAGGAGCTGGAGCTGATAGAGGGAGCTCATCCGCCTCTCCCCGGATTCGAACCTGCGACCTGTCGGTCTTCAGTCCTGCCGGCACAGGGGTTTAACCCACTGCGCCACCGGGGGCTCCATGGATAATTTATTATATGTTCAGAAAGGTACCTCCAAGGTTCATTTCCCCAACAATATGGAACCCACCAGCCTCCAATACATCTTGGCCTGTACTTTAAGAACATAACACAGGTTTTGCTGGATCAGGATAGTAGGCGTAAACCTCTTAGCAGTAACATTTGAAAAGGACTATAAACTATTACTCATTTTGCTGTCAATTTGCAGTTACTTGTTACACTGGTGCTAATTATGTTATTAACACACTCATTAGGCAACTTGTGGTAAGTAATACCATTACAGTCCAGGAGTTGCTTCCAAGCTCTGTATGTATGAAAAGGTTAGCTACAACTTTGGACCTCAACACATTAAAGAAATTCCCATCCTACCACACTTCAGTGATGCAGCTGGCACAGAATCGCTAGATCGCATTGCATGACGCACGTCTACTTTTGATGGGGTTCCATGCCAGCTGCACAGGTGAAGTGTTGTAGGACGGTGAAACCTGAACACAGGAGACTACCCACGTTGGTCCCTTTTGTCTAGTTCCAATGGTTCACAACTGGGCAATGTTTGGAGCTTAAACTTTGTTTTATATGTTATACGAGGGTTGAATTAAAAGTAATGCCTCCACCTTCGTAACTCCTCAACAAATGGCAGTACTGGTATGTGGCAGGTACTGGCTTGTTCAGTAGACTCTCCTCTACAGTTCCATTTTGGTGGGAAGCTTAGCATTGAACAGTTGTGTTGTTAAAGTGCGAAGTATGGAACCCTGCGCAGATGGTCGGTCAATGCAACTTAAGCAATGTGCAGTCATTGAATTCTTGATAGCAGAAGGTGTCACCAAAGGAGATTCATCAGAGAATGCAAGCTGTTTATGGTGATTGTGTTGATGTGAGTACTGTGCGTCATTGGGTGAGTAAGTTTAAAGATGTTGAGGTGGGAACATCTGACTTGCGTGACAAAGAGTTGGACGTCCTGTGACAGCAACCACGAGTTTCACAAGCAAAAGGTTGACAGATTGATTCAGGATGATCGTCATATCACTCAGAGAGAAATTTCAAGCATAATCGGCATTTCACAAGAATGTGTGGGTCACATTATTGCTTTGCTTGGCTATCGGAAGATCTGTGCACAATGGGTTGCTGATGGGAATATTTTAATAAATCAAACGCAGAAACAATCCTTAGAATGTGCTCTTTAACCACCACTATTCACTTTTCAACATAATCACAACAATTGGATACATTTCTGACAACGATGAACAAGTTTTCTGAAGCCATCATGGAAGAAGTCGACACTGTTTCCGCAACCCATAGTGCGCAGATCTTCCGATAGCCAAGCAAAGCAATAATGTGGCCCACTTTCTTGTGAAATGCCGATTATGCTTGAAATTTCTCTCTGTGTGATATGACGATCATCCTGTCAACCTTTTGCTTGTGAAACTCAGTGGTTGCTGTCACAGGACGTCCGACTTTTGTTTGTCACGCAAGTCAGATGTTCCCACCTCAACATCTTTAAACTTATTCACCCAATGTCGCACAATACTCACATCAACACAATCACCATAAACAGCTTGCATTCTCTGATGAATCTCCTTTGGGGTGACACCCTCTGCTGTCAAGAATTCAATGACTGCACGTTGCTTAAGACGCATTGACCGACCGTCTGCACAGGATTCCATACTTCTCACTTTAGCAACACAACCGTTCAATGCTAAGGCTTCCCACCAAAATGGAACTGTAGAGGATACCAGTACTGCCATCTGTTGAAGAGTTAAGAAAGGTCGAGGCATTACTTTTCATTCAACCCTTGTATACTTTTTTTATTGATGGCATTGAATTGTTGCCAACTTTGTGAACCGACCTGAGTCCCCTTCAGGGTTGGAACGGGCACTATACAAATACTGCAAATAATAATAAACAATAATAATCCCAGGATCCTGATTTAAATTAAATAACTTGGAGAAAAGGAATTACCAAATTAAACACAGCGATGATCAACAGAGAGCCTATTGCAATGGTGGCCAGTGGAAGCCTGACGAAAGGCATCGTCTCAACTTTCTGCGATAATGTTCGAAGGTAGCGCACCGGAGGCCATTGTTTTGAGCAGCATCTCTGAAGAAGGGGAAAAGACAAAGGTTTAGCAAGATGTACTAAACACACAATATCTTTAACACAGGCCAATTTACTGTCTGCTAGGAATTGTGGGAGTTGAAGTCCAAAACACCTGGGGGACTGAATCATAGAATCATAGAGTTGGAAGAGACCTCATGGACCATCCAGTCCAATCCCCTGCCAAGAGGCAGGAAAATTGCATTCAAAGCACCCCTGACAGATGGCCATCCAGCCTCTGCTTAAAAGCTTCCAAAGGAGGAGCCTCCACTACACTCCGGGGCAGAGAGTTCCACTGCTGAACAGCTCCCACAGTCAGGAAGTTCTTCCTCATATTCAGATGGAATCTCCTTTCTTGTAGTTTGAAATCATTGTTCCATGTCCTAGTCTCTAGGGCAGCAGAAAACAAGCTTGCTCCCTCCTCCCTGTGACTTCATCTCACGTATTTATACATGGCTATCATGTCTCCTCTCAGCCTTCTGTTCCTCAGGCTAAACATGCCCAGCTCTTTAAGCAGCTCCTCATAGGGCTTGTTCTTCAGATTCTTGATCATTTTAGTTGCCCTCTTCTGGACACCTTCCAGCTTGTCAATATCTCTCTTCAACTGTGATGCCCAGAATTGGACACAATATTCCAGGTATGGTCTGCCCAAGGCAGAATAGGGGGGGGGGGGGTCATGACTTGGATTTGAGTACTGTTTTCGTCTCCAACTTACCCAACAGTCGTCAGCAAAGCACACACTCAAAATGAGCCCCATTATGACAGCGACAACTCCAAACGAAATCCCTAAACTACTTGATGTTCTGAAAGAGAAAAAGGGGCGGAAACAAGGGGATGGAAACAGAGGCAAATCAACATTATGGGAAAATGCTATTCATGCTTCAGTTGTCATGAATCCTCAGAGGGAGATACTATCTCTCTTTGTCAACTCATGAGCCGCAGCTTTTTGTGCCTAATATCCAAACTTAATTTGACAACACTTTGCCAAATCATGAGTCCTAATATTCTCTCCAATGTTCTTTTCAAGCCATCCCATTCAACTGTCATTAGCTAAACTGGTGGCTTAGGATACCAAGGTATGAATATCCCATGAGCACAATGGTTTGCAATTACTTCCTTGTGTCCAGCCACATATAGTCAGGATCCTATTATTACTGATGCATGTCTATATCTAGACCAGTGTTTCTCAACCTTCCTAATGCCACGACCCCTTAATACAGTTCGTCATGTTGTGGTGACCCCCATTATTTTTGTTGCTAATTCATAACACTAATTTTGCTACTCTTATGGATTGTCATGTAAATATCTGATATGCAGGATGTATTTTCATTCACTGGACCAATTTAGCACAAATACCCAATACGCCCAAATTTGAATACTGGTGGGGTTGGGGAGGGTTATTGATTTTGTCATTTGGGAGTTGTCGTTGCTGGGATTTAAAATTAGCCTACAAGCAAAGAACATTCTGAACTCCACCAACGATGGACTTGAACCAAGCTTGGCACACAGAACTCCCATGACCAACAAAAAAGACTACAAGGGTTTGGTAGGCATACATTTTGAATTTTGGAGTTGTAGTTCACCTACGCCCAGAGAGCACTGTGGACTCAAGCAAGGATGGATCTGGACCAAACTTGGCAGAGATACTCAATACGCCCAAATAGGAATACCAATGGTGTTTGGAGAAAATAGGCCTTGGCATTTGGGAGTTGTAGTTGCTGGGATTTATAGTTCATCTGCAATCAAAGAGCATTCTGAACCCCACCAATGCTATAATTGGGCCAAACTTCTCACACAAAATCTCCATGACCAACAGAAAATACTGTGTTTTCTTATGGTCTTTGGTGACCCCTCTGATACACTCTCACGACCCCGCCAGAGGTCCCTATTCCCAGGTTGAGAAACACTGATCTAGACGAAAATCAAGGAACAAAATTTGGGCTTTCTACTTTTGTGGTTCTGACTTTTGAGGATGTGATTATGTACGGATTCGATTTACATTTTTCTCTCTAGGAATCTCTAGGTTTCCAATACAATTTTATGTTCCACTTGGGCTCCCTGCTTGCGCAGCGGGTTAAACCACTGAGCTGCTGAACTTGCCGACCGAAAGGTTGGTGATTCAAATCCAGGGAATGGAGTGAGCTCCCGCTCCCAGGGAATGGAGTGGGCTCCCACCCCAGCTTCTGCCAACTTAGCAGTTCGAAAACATGCAAATGTGAGTAGATCAATAGGTACCACTCCGGCGGGAAGGTAATGGCACTCTATGCAGTCATGCTGGTCATATGACCTTGAAGGTGTCATATGGGAAATCTGGCTCTTCGGCCAAGAAATGGAGATAGGCACCACCCCTCAGAGCTGGACACGACTAGACTTAATATCAGGGGAACCTTTACATTTAGCTTTATTTCCACTGAAAGGTGACCATAAAACTTAGACATTCCTAAAGAGATGTTCTGTCAGGTAAAAAATATATATAATTTATTTACATTTTTTCCTTTCAATGTGCAATGTACTTGGGAGGGCAGATAGCAGGGGCAAGGGAGGGTAGTTGAATCCCCTTGTTGCATTTGTGCACAACAAAATAGACCACCAAACACAAAACTTCACACTTACTTTGTCGTTATGCTTATTTGAACCAGGAACATGCACAGCAATACGATGCCAGCACAGGCAAAGTAACCCTTCAGCTTGGGAATAGGAATTGTGCGGTACTGAAAGAAAAACATCAGCACAGTTGGGATTTGTACATTGCCAACACAAACATATACGGTACTTCATATAAACGTTACACATAGGTGTCTATATCTATGTAAAGATCACAAATGTCTAACAGTGACTAACAGGTGGATATAAACAGATATCAGCTCTTTCTCCATGTAGGGAATATATAAAGTCTGTACCGTTTCCCTGCTTGTTGTACTCTATTTGCAGGGAAGGTTTCAGGAAAATAAACCATCCCAAATCAGTGTCTGGAGGCTTTTAAAGGAAAGCAAAAACAGGATGAGCTAACCATAGAATCATAGGATCATAGAATTGGAAGAGACCTCATGGGCCATCCAGTCCAACCCCCTGCCAAGAAGCAGGAAAATTGCATTCAAAGCACCCCTGACAGATGGCCATCCAGCCTCTGTTTAAAAGCCTCCAAAAAAGGAGCCTCCACCACACTCCGGGGCAGAGAGTTCCACTGCTGAACAGCTCTCACAGTCAGGAAGTTCTTCCTCATGTTCAGGTGGAATCTCCTTTCAAAATGGCATTCAAAGCATCCCCGACAGAGACCTCCATAGAAGGAGCCTCCACCACAATTTGGGTTCAGAGTTCCACTGCTGAACAGCTCTCACAGTCAGAAAGTTCTTCCTAATGTTTGGGTGGAATCTCCTTTCTTGCAGTTTGAAGCCATTGCTCCGTGTCCTAAACTCCAGAGCACCAGCTCTTTAAGCCGCTCCTCATAGGGCTTGTTCTCCAGACCCTTGATCATTTTAGTTGCTCTCCTCTGGACACATTCCAGCTTGTCAATATCTCTCTTCAATTGTGGTGCCCAGAATTGGACACAATATTCCAGGTGTGGTCTAAACAAGGCAGAATAGAGCTTGGGGAGCATGACTTCCCTAGATCTAGACACTATTTGGCCTATTGATGCAGGCCAAAATCCCTTTGGCTTTTTTTGCCGCTGCATCACATTGTTGGCTCATGTTTAACTTGCTGTCCATGAGGACTCCAAGATCTTTTTCACATGTACTGCTCTCGAGCCAGGCATCGTCCCCCATTCTGTACCTTTGAATTTCATTTTTTTCTGCCTAAGTGGAGTATTTTGCATTTGTCCCTGTTGAACTTCATTTTGCTATGAACGTCCCCAAGAAACATGTTTCGGTACTTAAAGCATCCCCAAAAGGTCTTGTTCCTCCCTTACTAACCTCTTTCTCAAGTCCCATGTCGACAAAAAACCCACAGAGTCCATGGAAGTCATCTTTGTCGCTGCACCATGGTCTACATTGAAGAACAAAGACAGGACAAATATATGGCAAAATTGGCTAATTTTGGTAATTTGGGTCATATCCTCATACAGCATTTTGCAATGCGAAATATATCCGCTTCTTTCACTTGTATCACCAACCCAACTTGATGGCCTACAGGACTCAGAACGGCTTCCGGTTTGGCAATAATTCAATGCCACATTAAACATCAAAGCATACAAATACACAGTACATTAAACATTAAAATCAGAAAATAAAAGATATACAGTAGAGTCTCGCTTATCCGACCTTCGCTTATCCAACATTCTGCCTTATCAGATGCTCTTATTCAACGTCCCCCTTTTCCTCCAGCATTTTTCCTAAAATTAAAGGAGTGCTCTCCAACTCTGCATTATTCCACATTTTCGTTTATCCGATGTTCTGCCGGCCTGTTTGTGTCAGATAAGCGAGACTCTACTATAAATACATTAAATAACTGTTCAAAACACAGCACCTAGTCCCACAATCATAGTCCAAGCTGATTCGTATATATTAGCTCTGTGGTTGTATATTGCACTGTCGCTGTACCGCTCTCCGAATACCTGCTTCCAGAGCCAGGTTTTAACTTTCTTTCTGCAAACCAGGAAGGAGGAAGCTGATCTAATGCTGCTAGGAAGGGAGTTCCATAGCCGAGGGGCCACCATTGAGAAGGTCCTGTCCCTTGCCCCTGCTAGCTGCACCTACAAAGGAGGCAGGACTGAGAGCAAGGCCTCCCTGGCAGATCTTAACCTCCGAGCTACTTCATAGGGGTAGAGACATTTGGACATAGGGGGAAGATATGTTTGGACAGTTCTGGGCCAGAATCATTTAGGTCCTTCTAAGTTAAAGCCAGCACCTTGAATTGTGCTCGGTAGCAGACTGGCAGCCAGTAGAACTGACACAGCAGCAGGGTGGATAGTGCCTCCAAGTCCCATTCCCATGAGGCACCCCAGAAGGATACTGTGGTCTTACATAGAATCAAAGAGTTGGAAGAGACCTCATGGACCATCCAGTCCAACCCCCTGCCAAGAAGCAGGAATATTGCATCCAAAGCACCCCCAACAGATGGCCATCCAGCCTCTGTTTAAAAGCTTCCAAAGAAGGAGCCTCCACCACACTCCAGGGCAGAGAGTTCCACTGCTGAACAGCTCTCACAGTCAGGAAGTTCTTCCTAATGTTCAGATGGAATCTCTTTTCTTGTAGTTTGAAGCTATTGTTCTGCGTCCTAGTCTCCAGGGCAGCAGAAAACAAGCTTGCTCCCTCCTCCCTATGACTTCCTCTCACATATTTATACATGGCTATCATATCTCCTCTCAGCCTTCTCTTCTTCAGGCTAAACATGCCCAGCTCCTTAAGCCGCTCCTCATAGGGCTTGTTCTCCAGACCCTTGATCATTTTAGTGGCCCTCCTCTGGACACATTCCAGCTTGTCAATATCTCTCTTGAATTGTGGTGCCCAGAATTGGACACAATATTCCAGGTGTGGTCTGACCAAGACAGAATAAAGGGGTAGCATGACTTCCCTGGATCTAGACACTATATTCCTATTAATGCAGGACAAAATCCCATTGGTCTTTTTAGCTGCCACTTCACATTGTTGGCCCATGTTCAACAAGGACTCCAAGAGCTTTTTCACATGTACTGCTCTCGAGCCAGGAATTGTCCCCCATTCTGTATCTTACTTGGCTGAGCTGAGTCCCTCGATGGTTGACAACATTTTCTCACGAATGTCTTCTTCCATTCTTCCTTTCTGAGAGGTATTCCTTTAAAAGCAGATCGGAAAATATTAGAAAAACTGAGCAATCCCTAAATACAGGACATTAATTATCATGGAGCATTTCAAAGACATTTATTTGTTCTAAAAAAAATATAGGTTCTAAGACATCAAAAAACTGCCCAAATATGGTTCAGGTATAATATAATATATACTAGATAAGCTTGTGCATGGATCCAGAGCGGTCAGTTCACTTTGGCCAATCAGGCTTATTCAACTTGGTTGGATATTGTAGTGAAATTGCTACTCTATGCAACAAAACACAAATGTAACCACAAGCGTTGGAACCAGAAGTTATAAATAAGTTGTGTTGCTTTGTTATACACAAGAGTGTTTCATTGCCTGCAATATAAATTACAAAGGTTTAACAGCACACAGAAAGTCCCTGCCAATATAAAAGAAGAAACTGAATCAGTATAAGGCAGCAAAGAGGTTTTTAAAGAGGAAATAATCTCTCTCCCTCGCCTCAGATATCCATCACAGCAAGGGTCCAGCTGTCACATTTTTCATCCATTACGGGACCACATGGAAGCCAATCATGGTTCCTACTCCACTATTTGGCATCATGTGGTGCGCAAAAAGGCTGCCGCATGCTGCTCACATGGGCTTTCTCTCTGAGCCCTGCCTGTTGGGCCAATTGGAATAGAAAAATGCCTTGACGTGTCTTACGCCAGCTGTGTCTGCCTCCTTAACCCCATTGCTGAAACCCAGGCTCCCTTGAAGGTAAGAAAAAAAGCATCCTAGGAATGGAAAGGGGAGCCTCGTAAGTTCCCCATTGCCGCTAATGGGCTGGACCTAGTCGTATTTTTCGGCTGCTGACCGAAAACGACTATCTGGCTACCCGGCCATTTTCAGGAGGCATGCGAAAACGGATACAGGGGTCTACCGGAATCCAGCCAGCAGAAACAGATCGATGTTTAGTTGAAATGCACAAGCCTAGTAAAGGGATACAAATGGAGCATCCCCAAAGATAGCAGAGTTGCTTGATGCCTCCCTGAGTCACCTTTGGGCTGATATGGGCGGGATAGAAATAGTGTAAATAAATAATAAATAAAAGCCCAGACCAGAAACACCCCATTTTGCAACAATACATTAGGATCACCCAGTGGCACAACAGGTTACACCCTTGTGCCAGCAAGACTGCTGATTGATAGATCAGTGGTTTGAATCCTGGGAGAGTGGGCTGAGCTCCATCTGTCAGCTCCAGCTTCCCATGCAGGAACATGAGAGAAGGCTCCCACAGGATGGTAAAAACATCAAACATCTGGGCGTTCCCTGGGATACATCCTTGCAGACAGACAATTCTCTCATGCCAGAATTTATTATGTATTTATTCCCTATATTTATACCCCGCCCTTTTTATTTATTTATTTTATTATTTATTTATTTACTTTGCTTATATACCGCTGTATCTCAAGCCCGAAGGCGACTCACGGCGGTTCACAAACAGTAAAAACAGTAGAAACAGCAGTGGTTCCATACAACATATAACAATTGACTTAACACATTATCCATAAATTACCAATAAGCAGTTACAATGCACAATTATTACAAAAAACAACCGTACCCAATCTTCTCATCATCCAAGCGTAGTCCAGGTTCGTCGTCCATTGTTCCATTCCTATGTTCCATTACCAGATTGCACTAAATTACTCAAACGCCTGCACAAACATCCAGGTCTTCACCTTTTTGCGGAATACCATAAGAGATGGTGCTAGTCTAATGTCCGTAGGAAGGGCGTTCCACAGCCGAGGAGCCACCACCGAGAAGGCCCTATCTCTCGTCCCCGCCAGCTGAGCTTGAGAAGCAGGCGGGATCGAGAGCAGGGTCTCCCCGGAAGATCTCAAAGTCCTGGTGGGTTCATAGGCAGAGATGCGGTCAGATAGGTAGCTTGGGCCGGAACCGTTTAGGGCTTTAAAGGCCAACGCCAGCACTTTGAATTCAGCCCGGTAGCAGATCGGTAGCCAGTGGAGTTGGCGCAACAGGGGGTTGTATGCTCCCTGTGCTCCGCTCCTGTTAAAATCATGGCTGCCGAGCATTGGACTAGTTGGAGCTTCCGAGCTGTCTTCAAAGGCAACCCCACGTAGAGAGCGTTGCAGTAGTCTAGGCAGGATGTAACCAGAGCGTGGACTACCGTGGCCAAGTCAGACTTCCCAAGGTACGGGCGCAGCTGGCGCACAAGTTTTAACTGTGCAAATGCTCCCCTGGTCACTGCCGAAACCTGGGGTTCCAGGCTCAGCGATGAATCCAGGATCACACCCAAGCTGCGAACCTGCGTCTTCAGGGGGAGTGCGACCCCATCCAACACAGGCTGTAACCCTATGCCCTGTTCGGCCTTGCGACTGACCAGGAGTACCTCTGTCTTGTCTGGATTCAATTTCAATTTGTTCGCCCTCATCCAGACCGTCACAGCGGCCAGGCACCGGTTCAGGACCTGGACAGCCTCCTTAGTAGCAGGTGGAAAGGAGTGACAGAGTTGGACATCATCCGCGTACAGATGACACCGTACCCCGAAACTCCGGATGATCCCCAGCGGCTTCATGTAGATGTTAAACAACATGGGAGACAATATTGAGCCCTGAGGAACCCAAGACAATGGTTGTGGGGTTGAACAGGTGTCCCCCAACAACACCTTCTGAGATACCCTCTAGGAAGGACCTGAGCCACTGTAAAACAGTGCCTCCCAGGCCCATTCCCGCAAGGCGTCCCAGAAGGATACCGTGGTCGACGGTATCGAAGGCCGCTGAGAGGTCCAGCAGAACCAACAGGGACACACTCCCCCTGTCAAGTTCACGCCGGAGATCATCCACTAAGGCGACCAAGGCTGTCTCGGTACCATGTCCCGGCCTAAAGCCAGACTGTGCCGGGTCTAGATAATCCGTGTCTACCAAGAATACCTGGAGTTGTGAGGCCACCACACGTTCCAAGACTTTGCCCAAGAAGGGGAGATTGGAAACTGGCCGATAGTTGTCGAATTTAGTGGGGTCCAGTGATGGTTTCTTCAACAGCGGTTTTATTATAGCTTGTTTTAAGCTCGCTGGAATCTTGCCTTCCCGAAGGGAAGCATTAACCACCACCTTAACCCACTCAGCCAATCCCCCTCTGGCCTCCTTTAGAAGCCAGGATGGGCAGGGGTCCAGGATGCATGTGGTTGGCCTCATTCCTCCAAGTATCTTGTCCACATCCTCGGGTTTCACCAATTGAAATGAATCCATCAAAACTGGACAAGCAGGTGCTCGTGTTACATCCTCAGAGACTGCCATTAACATGGTATCCAGACCAGAACGGATCAAAGCGACTTTGTCTGCAAAGAACTGAGCAAAAGCTTCACAGCGAGAAGTCGAATCGTCAGGGTTCATCATAATAAAACAATCAACAGTACAATTAAAATATTAAAAATGTTAAAATAATAATTAATTGCAGTTTCTCAAGTCGCTCCTGACACACACACAAAAAACCCCAAAATAATACACTGCAGACTTCTCTAAAGACTTTTCAAAACTTCCGTGATTCCATAGCATTGAGGCATGGCGCTCCAAATAGTGTCAAATTGAATTAAATCTACAGTGTAGATGCACCCACAAAACAAATAACAGTTTGGTTATATGTGATGAGCGGGTCTCATTTCGAACCCAAAGAAAATGGCAAAACAGAGGGAAAGAGGGAAATAAATGTAGAAGGAAGGAAATCTCAGTTGTTTGACAGAACAGTGAAAACAAATGCAAAGAAGTAAAAAGAGGAAAGAAAACTCACTTATAGTTTATAACGGAAGGAGGACATATATGTTCTTGCCTAGATCCATCCAGACTAACACAGGGAAGCAGAGAGAGAAAGAGGAATCTGATATAATAGTTATCAAATGAATCTGTAGCAATGATATCAATCACAAGGCTGTTGTTATACACTAATAATAATAATAATAATAATAATAATAATAATAATAATAAGTGTCCTAGACACTTGGGTGATCCAAAACAACAGCCAGCAGGGTGATCTTGTTTGCTGTGGACTCATCTTGTGTTTCTAATAATAAAATTATTATTATTATTATTATTATTATTATTATTATTATTATTATTATTATTATAACAACAACAACAACAACAACAACAACGCTATTGTTATATACTAATAAGGAGCTCCCGGTGGTGCAATGGGTCAAACCCTTGTGCCGGCAGGACTGAAGACCAACAGGTCAGAGCTTCAAACCCGGGGACAGCACGGATGAGCTCCCTCTGTCAGCTTCATCTCCTCATGCAGGGACATGGGAGAAGCCTCCCACAAGGATGGTATAACATCAAAACATCCGTGCGTCCCCTGGGCAACGTTCTTGCAGACGGCCAAATCTCTCACACCAGAAGCAACTTGCAGTTTCGCAAGTCACTCCTGACACGAATACATTCATTAATAGATTTCTTTCCAATATTTTGGCTGACTCCAAAGCAACAGTTGGAAAATGGATAATGGGTACATCTACACTGCAGAATTAATGCAGTTTGATACCTCTTTTGCTACCATGGCTGAATGCTATGGGGTTGTGGGATTTGTAGCTTAGTGAGGCCCCAGTGCTCTTGAGCAGAGAAGCCTAAAATCCTTATAAAAGTACAGCTCTCAAGGTTCCATGCAGCACTGAGCCATGGTAGTGAAAGTGGTGCCAAATTGCATTCATTCAACAGTGTAGCTGCACCCAATGCGAACACCCTCATCAGGCATGTAGCTGGGGGGGGGGGCTTGGGGGGCTTCAGCCCCCCCCCCCCCCCGAAATTCTCATGGTGGTTCGCAAAAAGGCCTTACTGGTGCATTATTTAAACTGTTATGTTTATTCATATCATGATCTGATCACCATACTCAATATATCCCATATGCATGGGGGTATTGGGGTAATGATACAAAAGGTTTGCTAGGCTAGACCCTCTTTCACTCAGACTCAGCCCCCCCCGAAACTCAGCCCCCCCCCTGAAAAAAATTCAGCCCCCCCCCCCCAAACGAAATCCTGGCTACGGGCCTGACCCTCGTAATCCTATCTATCCAATCTATCCTTAGAAAAACTTTTTTGTGTGCTTCTTACTCACAAGATACTTGGTGAGATGCTACAGAAGGTCTTCTTCTCCCTGACATCAAAAGATGTCACAACTGTTTGCCTTACTTTTTCTATTAGATATCTAGCAAAAGCACTTGCACTGCTCTGCAAGTGCAGCATTTTTCTGAATGAAGCAGAGAGTGTTTGAGGACCGGGACATCCGTAGGGATACCAAGGTGCTTGTTTATAAAGCTATTGTCCTCCCAACCCTGCTATATGCCTGCGAGATGTGGACTGTCTACAGACATCACATGCAACTTCTGGAACGATTCCATCAGCGCAGCCTCCGGAAAATCCTGCAAATCTCTTGGGAAGACCGGCGGACAAAAGTCAGCGTGCTGGAAGAAGCAAAGACCACCAGCATCGAAGCAATGGTCCTCCGCCATCAACTCCGCTGAACCGGCCATGTTGTCCAGATGCCCAACCACCATCTCCCAAAGCAGTTGCTCTACTGCAAACTCAAGAACGGAAAACGGAATGTTGGAGGACAGGAAAATAGATTTAAAGATGGGCTCAAAGACAACCTTAAAAACTCTGGCATAGACACTGAGAACTGGGAAGTCCTGGCCCTTGAGCGCTCCAGCTGGAGGTCAGCTGTGACCAGCAGTGCTGTAGAATTTGAAAAGGCACGAATGGAGGGCGAAAGAGAGAAATGTGCCAAGAGGAAGGCGCGTCAAGCCAATCCCGGCCGAGACCGCCTTCCACCCAGAAACCAATGCCCTCATTGTGGGAGAACAGGCAGATCAAGAATAGGGCTCCACAGTCACCTACGGACCCACCACCAATCTTGGAAGACTATCCTACTTGGACAATGAGGGATTGCCTAATGACTAGCAAAAGCAGCTCTCTTTCAGAACCTATGAAGCCTTTCTGGAGGTTTTGTTTTCAATTTTGTTATCACACTAATCTTTATGATTTATTATGTGCATTCAACGTATTGACATCTCCCTTGTTAACCTCACAGAGGGAAACATGGAGAGCATACAATAAATGAACACAATGAAATGCGGATCTGAAGAGCGTAGAAAAAGTCAAGAGAAGACGTACCTCTCAGAGGCTCTCTGACGACTTGCCAGCTGCAGAGCTATCTCCTTCGGAAGAAAGAAAAATACATGTTTGAATATTAAACAATTCATTTTTTTTTTCTTAAATATGTACATAAAATTGATGAATTAATGAATTTGGTGACTTTATTCCAACCATTGGGGCTCCTGTTTAAAAGTTGTATCACTACTTATTGAACTCTTCCTGGCTTCCAATAAAGGATGAAGATTTTTGGAATGATGTTTAAAAAAGAACTAGGAAATATCTTCATTTATATGACTTTTTCTTACAGATAAGATGGGTCAATGTAAAGGCAAATGGATAGATAGTAGACTCTCAGGGATTAGTATATGCTGGATAAATGTAACTTCTGGTTGTTTGAGAGTTACTATTAAAATAGATCTGACTAGGGATGGATCTAAACTGCCATATTATCCAGATTATTAAAGCAGCGGACCCAGATTATCTGCTTTGAACCGGATTAGATGAGCCTACACTGCCATATAATCCAGTTCAAAGCAGATAATCTGTCAGTGTAGATGGGATCTGTGGCCAGGGGAGCTTTTGCACAGTTAAAGCTTGTGCGCCAGCTGCGCCCGTACCTTGGGAAGTCTGACCTGGCCACGGTGGTCCACGCTCTGGTTACATCCCGAATAGATTACTGCAACGTACTCTATGTGGTATTGCCTTTGAAGACTGTTTGGAAACTCCAACTAGTCCAACAAGCGACAGACAGATTACTCACTGGAGCGCCATACAGGGAACACACCACCCCCTGTTATGTCAGCTCCACTAGCTGCCGGTCCACTTCCAAGAACAATTCAAAGTGCTGGTCTTGGCCTATAAAGCCCTATACGGTTCCGGCCCAACTTACTTATCCGAACGTATCTCCCTCTATGTTCCACCTCATAGTCTAAGATCTGCCGGGGAGGCCCTGCTCTCGGTCCCACAAGCCTCGCAAACGCGTCTGGTGGGGACAAGGGACAGGGCCTTCTCGGTGGTGACCCCCCACTTGTGGAATTTGCTCTCCATTGAGATTAGATCGGCATCCTTCCTCTTTTCCTTCAGAAAAAAACTAAAATTGTGGTTTTCGGCTAGTGGGCGCAGCAACACTTTGAACATGGAACTAGACGTGATGACTGGAAACAGATATGTAATTAGGTGATTGTATGATTATATAATTAATTGTTACTGTTTTTAATCTTTATGTATTTATTGTTTTATATTGGTATTTATTGATATTGTGGCATCAAATTGCTGCCTGTGTTAGTCGCTCTGAGTCCCCCTCCGGGGGTTTAAAAGGGCGGGGTAAAAATGCTGTAAATAAAATAATAAATATAAATAAATAGATAAGTGCCCCATACTATGCCATACCTTCCTCCGCCTCCTGTTTGGTGCCGAGGTCTCGCTGCTCACGCTCTCTCTGTGGTTCAGGTGTGCAAAAGGCCGGGCCGCCCCCCAAGACTCCAAATACCTCGACATCCGGACAGACGCCCGCATCTTCAAGCCGTCCTGTACCCGGCTGTGAGTGACATGGTTGTTGGAGACACGCTGCTTGGACTGCAAACCAAAGACAGAGATTTGAAAATTCAGCATTGATGGACAAGTGAAGGCCACGCTACGTCACAATTCAATGCAGGAGAAAGCAGACTGAAGTCTACTTGGGAATGTGTCAACGCTGTACAATTAAAGGAATTCGGCACCACTTTAAATGCTATGGCTCAGTGCTGTGGTACCCATGATTCCATAGCTTTGAACCATATGAGATTTGAGTTTTGTTTAAGAGAGGAGCAGGATAGAAGATGAGGTAGAACAGTGGTTTTCTCAACCTTCCTAATGGCGCGACCCCTTAATACAGTCCCTTATGTTGTGGTGACCCACAACCATAATATTGTTTTTGTTGCTACTTCATAAGAGTCATTTTACTACTGTTATAAATCATAATTAGAAGTTGAGGAGCCTTCTAATCAAGGTGAAAGAAGAAAGTGCAGTTAAACATTAAAAAAAACCAAGATGATGGCAACCAGACTGATTGATAACTGGCAAATAGAGGGACTTGGTAAGACCGTGACAGACTTTGTATTTTTAGGTGCAAAGATTACGGCAGATGCAGACTGTAGCCAGGAAATCAGAAGACGCTTACTTCTTGGGAGGAGAGCAATGTCCAGTCTCGATAAAATAGTAAAGAATAGAGACATCAGACTGGCAACAAAGATCCGCCTAGTCAAAGCCATGGTATTCCCTGTAGTCACCTACGGATGTGAGAGCTGGACCTTAGGGAAGGCTGAGCAAAGGAAGATAGATGCTTTTGAACTGTGGTGTTGGAGGAAAGTTCTGAGAGTGCCTTGGACTGCGAGAAGATCCAACTAGTCCATACTTCAGGAAATAAAGCCCAACTGCTCATTGGAGGGAAGGATAGTAGAGACAAAGCTGAAGTACTTTGGCCACATCATGAGGAGACAGCAAAGCCTAGAGAAGACAATGATGCTGGGGAAAGTAGAAGGTAAAAGGAAGAGGGGCCGACCAAGGGCAAGATGGATGGATGGCATCCTTGAAGTGACTGGACTGACCTTGAAGGAGCTGGGGGTGGTGACGGCCACAGGGAGCTCTGGCGTGGGCTGGTCCATGAGGTCATGAAGAGTCGGAGACGACTGAACGAATAAACAACATTTTACTACTGTTATAAATCATAATGTAAATATCAGATATGCAAGATGTATTTTCATTCACTGGACCAAACTGGGCACAAATACCCAATGCAACCACTTGTAAATGCTAGTGAGGTTGGGGGAGGATTGATTTTGTAATTTGGGAGTTGTAGTTGCTGGGATTTATAGTTCACCTATAATCAAAGAGCATTCTGAACTCCACCAGCGATGGATTTGAACCTAATTTGCCACACAGAACTCCCATGACCAACAGAAAACACTGGAAGGGTTTGGTGGGCATTGACCTTGAGTTTGGGAGTTGTAGTTCACCTATATCCAGAGAGAACTGTAGACTCAAACAATGGAGGATCTGGACCAGGTAAAGGTAAAGGTAAAGGTAGTCCCCTGACATTAAGTCCAGTCATGTCTGACTCTGGGGTGTGGTGCTCATCTCCATTTCTAAGCCGAAGAGCCGGCGTTGTCCGTAGACACCTCCAAGGTCATGTGGCCGGCATGACTGCATAGAGTGGCACAGATACTCAATATGTCTAAATGTGAACATTGGTGGAGTTTAGGGAAAATAGACTGTGATATTTGGGGGTTGTAGTTGCTGGGATTTATAGTTCACCTACAATCAACGAGCATTCTGAACTCCACCAACGATAGAATTGAACCAAACTTGGCACACATGGAATCCCTCAGTTGACATTAGAAAATCACTCAGCTGTTCTTATGTATGGTCCTTTTGGCGACACCCTCGACAACAAATCTCAAAGAACCCCCTCAGGGGTCCCGACCCCCAGGTTGAGAAACACTGAGGTAGAAGAAGGAGAGGAAGGAGAAGGATAGGAGGAGGAAAACGAAAAAGAGGAGGAGGAATTGAGGACGAGGAGGGAGAAGATGAAGAAGAGTTGTTGTTGTTAAACTGGTGTACTTATGATTCCATAGCATTGAACCATATGAGTTTGAGTTTTGTTTAAGAGAGGAAAGCGGGATAGAAGAGGAGGAGGAGGTAGAAGGAGGAAAGGAGGAGGAGGAAGAAGAAAAAGAAGACGAAGATGATGATGATGAAGACGAAGAAGAAGAAGAGGAGGAGGAGGGGGGGGAATAGGAGGAGAAGGAAAACGAAAAAGAGGAAGAGGAATTGAAGATGAGGAGGGAGAAGATGGAGAAGAGTTGTTGTTAAACTGGTGTCAAACTCCATTAATTCAACAAAGTAGATTCAACCTAAAGCAAGTCTACATGCAAGACTATGCTTCAATTCCAATAAGTCCAGATTTAGGACTCTGACATATCGTGTCTGAACCAAACCCGACTGTTGCTTTGTCTACCTGGCCTTGTCTGCTCAGATCAGCCATGTGTCCCTGTGCCTTTCAATGAGGACAAGGTTGATAGCTTCTTTTGTGTAAGAACCACTTAGGTAGCTCTTGTAGGAATGCATGAGTGCTGCAGACAATATCTGCTTTGGTTGTTGTTATTTGTAAAAAGAAGATGCATCTGTGTCAGTCTGTTTCAGTATACAATGGGATCTTGGAGCACCTTGGTGAACAAGAAGAGGCTGAAGGTTATTTATCTGTAAGGTGTTGGGTTTTCAATAAATTATCTCCTTATCTCTGAATATTTCCATCATATAGCTGCAGCTAAAAAAGCCAATGGGATTTAGGCCTGCATCATTAGGAGTCTAGTGTCTAGATCCAGGGAAGTCATGCCACCCATGCTCTATTCAACCTTTGTTAGACCACACCTGGAATAGTGTGTCCAATTCTGGACACCACAGTTGAAGAGAGATATTGACAAACTGGAAGGTGTCCAGAAGAGAGTGACTAAAATGATCAAGGGTCTGGAGAACAAGCCCTATGAGGAGCGGCTTAAAGACCTGGCCATGTTTAGCCTGAAGAAGAGAAGGCTTAGAGGAGACATGATAGCCATGTATAAATATGTGAGAGGAAGTCATAGGGAGAAGGGAGCAAGCTTGTTTTCTGCTGCCCTGGAGACTAGGACACGGAGCAATGGCTTCAAAATACAGGAAAGGAGATTCCACCTGAACATTGGGAAGAACTTTCTGACTGTGAGAGCTGTTCAGCAGTGGAACTCTGAACCCAAATTGTGGTGGAGGCTCCTTCTATGGAGGCTTTTACAAAGAGGCTGGATGGCCATCTGTCGGGGATGCTTTGAACACTATTATCCTTCTTCTTGGCAGGGGGTTGTGCTGGATGACTCACAAGGTCTCTTCCAACTCAATGATTCTATAATTCTATGATAGATAGATAGATAGATAGATAGATAGATAGATAGATAGATAGATAGATTATGATGGATGTGAGAGCTGGACCATAAGGAAGGCTGAGTGACGGAAACTAAACATTCTGAATTGTGGTGATGGAGGAAAATTCTGAGAGTGCCTTGGACTGCAAAAAGATCAAACCAGTCCATCCTCCAGGAAATAAAGCCGACTGCTCACTGGAGGGAAGGATATTAGAGGCAAAGATGAAGTGCTTTGGCCACATCATGAGGAGACAGGAAAGATTGGAGAAGACAATTATGCTGGGGAAAATGGAAGGAAAAAGGAAGAGGGGACGACCAAGGGCAAGATGGATGGATGGCATCCGTGAAGTGACTGGCTTGACCTTGAAGGAGCTGGGGGCAACGACAGCTGACAGGGAGTTCTGGCGTGGGCTGCTCCACGAGGTCACAAAGAGTAAAAAATGACTGAACAAATAAACAACAACATTATTTTCCTCGTTCCTTACTTAGGCGATCGATTCCTCATTGTCCGAGTAGAATTGTCTTCCAAGATCTATGTAATGGTGGTGGGTTCGTAGGTGACTGTGGTGCCCTATTTTTGATCTGTATGTTCTCCCACAGTGAGGACATTGGTTTCCAGGTGGAAGGTGGTCCCGGTTGGGGTTGGCTTGATGCATCTTCCTCTTGGTATGTTTCTCTCTTTCGCCCTCCATTCGTGCCTCTTCAAATTCTACAGCACTGCTAGTCACAGCTGACCTCCATCTGCAGCGCTCAAAGGCCAGGGTTTCCCAGTTCTCAGTGTCTATGCCAGAGTTTTTAAGGTTGGCTTTGAGCCCATCTTTATATCTCTTTTCCTGCCCACCAACATTACATTTTCCGTTCTTGAGTTTGGAGCAAAGCAACTGCTTTGGGAGACAGTGGTTGGGTGTCTGGACAATGTGGCCGGTCCAACGGAGTTGATGGCAGAGGATCATTGCTTCAATGCTGGTAGTCTTTGCTTCTTCCCGCAAACTGACATGTGTCTACTTGTCTTCCCAAGAGATTTGCAGGATTTTCCAGAGGCAGCGCTGATGGAATCGTTCCAGGAGTTGCATGTGACGTCTGTAGACAGTCCATGTCTCGCAGATGTATAGCAGGTTTGGGAGGACAATAGCTTTATAGACAGGCACCTTGGTATTCCTATGGATGTCCCAGTCCTCAAACACTCTGTGCTTCATTCGGAAAAATGCTGCACTCCTGTGTGTATTTGATGTTTCTGACTTCTCAAAAACATGTGTTTTTCTTATTGTTGTGCTACTCTTGTCGTCGTCATCATCTCGCTTTCCTCTCTTAAACAAGATTCAAAGTGTTGTTGTTTTGGTTCTTCCAACCACAAAATGTCGAGTCTCGAACCTAGATCTCCAGGCAAAGCAAGTGCGCCACACAATCAACAATGACGTCTGCTGCTATCCCTTTGAAATCCGCATGTTGTCAACTGATTTTAATAACCTATAATGACGGGGTGCGTAAAGCAATAAGATGCTAATGCAGATGGTAGGTCTCCAGTCTCACTAGAGAAATAGATGGAAAACAAAACACACTTCCGTTCCGGTGCCAAGAAAAGAAAGCTGGATTGCTCCGGAGTGCCATTTCTTTTCCTAATCACTTCTTCCTTCCAAACAGAGCTGCACTTAAGACAAGACGTGGGAGGCGTAAAGCGTATTCTTTTAATTACATCCAGTTAAAGAACACACAGCCCTTTCGAGATACTTGAAGGGTTCCTTGGAGACCGAACTCTGAAAGCCATTGTTTCGTGGCTCTGTGGCTCACGCAGCTGAATATCTAATGCATTTTAGCCTTGTTATACAAGTCCCCGCCTTCCAAACACATAATTAATTCTCTGTCAGGCAAGGTTGCTATCTTTTTTTTCCCCACTCCTTGCTGCATCCCAATTCCTAATATTATGATGCCCCCATTTTTGTTTCCAAATCATTATCATCATCATACCTGGGTCAATAAACAAAGAGCTGTGCAAAATAAACCAAATCAATAGATCATGGGASTAAAATTAAGCTTCTTTACTTATTCAGCTCAGTTACAATGTACTACTATTCAGACTAAGATTGCATTTTTTTTATTTTGGAGAATATTTCTCAACCTGGGGGTCGGGACCCTGGGGGGGGGGGGTTCACAAGTGTGCGTCAGAGGGGTCACCAAAGACCATCAGAAAACACAGTATTTTCTGTTGGTCATGGGGGTTCTGTGTGAGAAGTTTGGCCCAATTCTATCGTTGGTGGGGTTCAGAATGCTTTTTGATTGTAGGTGAACTATAAATCCCAGCAACTACAACTCCCAAATGTCAAGGTCTATTTCCCCCAAACTCTACCAGTGTTCACATTTGGGCATATTGAGTATTCTAGAGTTTGGTTCAGAATGCTCTTTGTATTGTAGGTGAACTATAAATCCCAGCAACTACAACTCCCAAATGTCAAGAACTATTTTCCCCAAACTCCACCAGTATTCACATTTTGGCATATTGAGTATTTGTGCCAAGTTTGGTCCCGATCCATTATTGTTTGAGTCCACAGTGCTCTCTGGATGTAGGTGAACTACAACTCCCAAACTCAAGGTCAATGCCCACCAAACCCTTCCAGTCTTTTCTGTTGGTCTTGGGAGTTCTGTGTGCCAAGTTTGGTTCAATTCTATCATTGATGGAGTTCAGATTGCTCTCTGATTGTAGGTGAACTATAAATCCCAGCAACTACAAATCCCAAATGTGAAGCTCTATTTTCCCCAAACTCCACCAGTGTTCACATTTGGGCATATTGAGTATTCGTGCCAAGTTTGGTCCAGATCCATCATTGTTTGAGTCCACAGTGCTCTCTGGATGTAGGTGAACTACAACTCCCAAACTCAAGGTCAATGCCCACCAAACCCTTCCAGTATTTTCTGTTGGTCATGGGAGTTCTGTGTGCCAAGTTTGGTTCAATTCCTTGGTTGATGGAGTTCAGAATGCTCTTTGATTGTAGGTGAACTATAAATCCCAGCAACTACAACTCCCAAATGTCAAGGTCTATTTCCCCCAAACTCCACCAGTGTTCACATTTGGGCATATTGAGTATTCATGCCAAGTTTAGTCCAGATCCATCATTGTTTGAGTCCACAGTGGTCTCTGGATGTAGGTGAACTACAACTCCAAAACTCAAGGTCAATGCCCACCCACCTTTCCAGTATTTTCTGTTGGTCATGGGAGTTCTGTGTGCCCAGTTTGGCCCAATTCCATCGTTGGTAGAGTTCAGAATGCTCTTTGATTACAGGTGAACTATACACCACTGAGAAGGCCCTGTCCCTCGAAGTTTGGCCCAATTCTATCATTGGTGGAGTTCGAAATGCTCTTTGATTGTAGGTGAACTATAAATCCCAGCAACTACAACTCCCAAATGACAAAATCAATATCCCCCAACCCCACCAGTATTCAAATTTTGGCATATTGGGTATTTGTGCCAAATTTGGCCCATTGAATGAAAATGCATCCTACATTTCAGATATTTACATTAGGATTCATAACAGTAGCAAAATTACATTTACAAAGTAGCAACGAAAATAATGTTATGGTTGGGGGTCACTACAACATGAGGAACTGTATTAAGGGGTCACAACATTAGGAAGATTGAGAAACACTGATCTACCCTGTAGAATTAATGCAATTTGATACCACTGTGACTACCATGGCTCATGCAGTTTGTAGTTTGGTGAGGGGCCAAACTACAGGAAAGGATAGAGACCTTCAAAAGGACAGTTCTCATGATTCCATGGCACTGAGCCATAGCAGTTAAAGTGGTGCCAAACTGCATTAATTCTACAATGTGGATGTATCTCAGCTTGTCTTCTCTACTCATTGCTATATTTCTCTTTAGCCCCTCTACTTATGCATTCCCAGACCTCTGACTTTACAGTCTTAGCTTCTTTGTCTCTTCCCTTGGATTTTTCAGAATATAGTACTGGGACTTGGGAAATCCAGGTTCTGTTGTTGTAGAATCATAGAGTTGGAAGAGACCTCGTGGACAATCCAGTCCAACCCCATTCTGCCAAGAAGCAGGAAAATTGCATTCAAAGCACCCCTGACAGGTGGCCAGTCAGTCTCTATTTAAAAGCCTCCAAAGAAGAAGTCTCCACCACACTCTGGAACAGAGATATGATATGAGGGTTTAAAGATCGAACTGTAAAGACTCTGGCACAAGGCAGTAAAGGTGTCCCAATGGTGATTGGCACACTGGGTGCAGTGCCTAAAGACCTTGGCATGCACTTAAAAACAATTGGCAAATTGTTGGCAATTACCATCTGTCAGCTGCAAAAGGGCACCCTACTCTGATCTGCACACGTTATTCACTGATATATCACACAGTCCAAGACACTTTGGAAGTGGTGCCCAACATGTGATCAAATACAAAAGCCAGCATAGTGATCTTGTTTGCTGTGTACTAATCTTATTATGTATCTAATGATGATGATGATGATCGGCACACTGGGTGCAGTGCCTCAAGACCTTGACCTGCACTTAAAAACAATTGGCAACTTGTTGGCAATTACCATCTGTCAGCTGCAAAAGGCCACCCTACTTATTCACTGATACATCACACAATCCAAGACACTTTGGAAGTGGTGTCCAACATGTGATCAAATATAAAAGCCAGCATAGTGATCTTGTTTGCTGTGTACTAATCATTTTATGTATCTAATGGTGGTGATGATGATGATGATGATGATGACGATGATGATGATCGGCCTCTGGATGCAGTGCCTAAAGACCTTGGCCTGCACTTAAAAACAATTGGCAAATTGTTGGCAATTACCATCTGTCAGCTGCAAAAGGCTACCCTACTCGGACCTGCACACATTATTCACTGATACATCACACAATCCAAGACACTTTGGAAGTGGTGTCCAACATGTGATCAAATACAAAAGCCAGCATGGTGATCTTGTTTGCTGTGTTCTAATCTTGTTATGTATCTAATGATGATGATGATGATCAGCACACTGGGCACAGTGCCTAAAGACCTTGGCCTGCACTTAAAAACAATCGGTGCTGACAAGATTACCATCTGCCAACTGCAAAAGGCCACCTTACTGGGATCTGCACGCATTATTTGCCAATACATCACATAGTCCTAGACACTTGTGTATTGTGATCCAATACAACAGCCAGCAGAGTGTCTGCTGTGGACTCATCTTGTTGTGTTTCAAATAATGATGATGATGATGATGATGATGATGATGGATAGAGAACCAGACAAGCCATCATTGACATCATTGACGGGAAAACAGGATGTAAAATGGGATAAACTATAAAAATATTTCCCGACAAGAAACCACATTGTTGCTAGGATTCCGAAAAGAGACACAATTCCCTGGTATATATATATACACACACACTTCTACCCCATCCTTCTTGTGTTCCACTTTGCTCGCAGATGCCATGCTGTTTGCTAATGTTTCATTGCCGCCGATGGGAAGATGACAGCATCATCCCCAAGCAAGAATGGAGTCTGCAATACTCTCTTTTTAGATAGAGACTTTTTCTTGCATGCTGCTCTATATTTGTTTAGGAGGAAAGCAGTCCTACCCTTGGATCGACCACCAAGTACGTTTTGATATCCATGGTTGCCAGATACGGGTCTCGGAGGGGTCCGTTGCCTTCTTCCACCTCATAAGCTTTGCCCAGGTGATTCAGTGTGGCTTCGGTGATGTGTACACGGCTGGAAAAGACGGACAAAAGATTTAAATGCGGGCAGAAAGGTCACGGGTTCATTTCCATCTCAATAGATGTTGTCGACTGGTCTCTGGCTTCTCAACAGCTTTGCACCTTGGCAGCTGAGAAGCAGGATCCTGCCAAGAGAACTTTGCTTATTTGGGACCAGAAGTGTTTTGGATTTGGGATTTTTTGGATTTTAGCTAGCCACTGGCTTTCCAGCTGAGGATCTAAATYAGTGGTTCTCAACCTTCCTAATGCTGTGACCCCTTAATACAGTCCCTCATGTTGTGGGGACCCCCAACCATAACATTGTTTTTGTTGCTACTTCATAACGGTCATTTTACTACTGTTATGAATCATAATGTAAATATCAGATATGCAAGATGTATTTTCATTCACTGGACCAAACTGGGCACAAATACCCAATGCAGCCACATRTAAATGCTAATGGGGTTGGGGGAGGATTGATTTTGTAATTTGGGAGTTGTAGTTGCTGGGATTTATAGTTCACCTACAATCAAAGATCATTCTGAACTGCACCAGCAATGGATTTGAACCTAATTTGCCACAYAGAACTCTCATGACCAACAGAAAACACTGGAAYGGTTTGGTGGGTATTGACCTTGAGTTTGGGAGTTGTAGTTCACCTATATCCAGAGTGCACTGTGGACTCACGCAATGGTGGATCTGGACCAAACTTGGCACCAGTAGTCAATATGCACATATGTGAACACTGGTGGAGCCTGGGGAAAATAGACCTTGACTTTTGGGAGTTGTAGTTGCTGGGATTTATAGTTCATTACAATCAAAGAATATTCTGAACTCCACCAACGATAGAATTGGCTCAAACTTCCCACATGGAATCCCCATGACCATCAGAAAATACTGTGTTTTCTGATGGTCTTTGGCGACCCCTCTGACACCCCTTCGCGACCCCTTCAGGGGTCCGGACCCCCAGGTTGAGAAACACTGATCTAAATGAACCCTTCCAAACTGCAAAACCTAAATGTTAAGCTGCAAAACCATGAATTGTTTAAGTATGAAAATGCCATCTGTCCAAATCTGGGAAATGTCAGACACCAGACAATATCATGACATATAATGCAACCAAACAAGCAAACCAACCAATGGACCTTTTCAGGACCAACCATGAYGTTAATCTCAATACATCCCGTATAACTACTGCAACGCTCTCTACGTGGGGTTGCCTCTGAAGACTGCCCGGAAGCTTCAACTAGTCCAACGTGCGGCAGCCAGATTACTAACAGGAGCGGGGTACAGGGAGCATACTACTCCTCTGCTGCGTCAGCTCCACTGGCTGCCAATTAGCCTCTGAGCACAATTCAAAGTGCTGGTGCTGACCTATAAATCCCTAAACRACTCCGGCCCAGTTTACCTGTCCGAACAGATTCTCCCCTATGAACCATCAAGGTTGTTAAGATCTTCTGGAGGGACCCTGCTCTCAATCCCACCACCCTCGCAATCGCAATTGGTGGGGACGAGGGACAGGGCCTTCTCGGTGGTGGCTCCTCGGCTCTGGAACTCTACAACTGTTTTGGTTTGCTCCTGACACGATAAATAAATAAATCTATATATTTTTATGTATTTGCATATATATTTTTCAGCAAAGTAAATATTGCTATTGTTTGAATTCAACCTCACACTGCCCAAGTCTCAGGTCCTCAGTGAGGAACAGTTTAGTGAGCTTAGAATAAACGAAGGCTTTTCTTTCCTCCATGTCTCTTGAATGACAGATGGGAATGTATCTTTTTCTTCTCTCTTCTCTCTTCCTGCTCTCATTCTAATTGGTTGTTTAAAAATGGATGCTTTTTCTACTGCAAACCTTTTTGAATCTGACTTCTGCCTTCTCTTCACTTCAATATGGAGAGTATGTGCTGTGTGCTTTGAGATCTCTCTCTGCTTGTGTGTCAGGAGAAACGTAGTGATTGAGTTTTCCCTCTCTTGAAACCTTAGAAGAGATGGGTGTTAGAGTAGCTCAGACCCAGTTCTTGATTATTAAGAAATACAGTTATTGTTTCTCATTATCTATATAAATAAAAATGTAATGTTCGTTTGTGGGATTAACATAACTCAAAAACCACTGGATGAATTGACACCAAAATTGGACACAAGACACCTACTAACCCAAGGAGTGACCATCACTCAAAATATTGATGTTGTCATTTGGGATTTATAGTTGCTGGGATTTATAGTTCACCTACAATCAAAGAACATTGAGAACCCCACAAACAATGGAATTGAACCAAACTTGGCACATAGGACTCCCACAACCAACAGAAAATTCTGGAAGGATTTGGTGGGCATTGACCTTGAGTTTGGGAGTTGTAATTGACCTACATCCAGAGAGCACTGTGAATTCAAACAATGATGGATCTGGACCAAAATTGGCACGAATACTCCATATGCCCAAATGTGAACACAGATGGAGTTTGGGGAAAATAGACCTTGAGAGGAGACATGATAGACATGTATAAATATGTCAGAGGAAGTCATAGGGAGGAGGGAGCAAGCTTGTTGTAAATAAACCTTTTGTGATTTTTAAAGATTGGACTCAGTATGCTTGTCTCCTAAGTTCTGAATTCTTTACATCACACGGCACTTCACACTTTTCTTGCTAATGAGCTGAATGCCCAGCTTTTGCATCCTGGTTTTTGTTTTTGTTTTTGTTTTGTTTTTTGTTGTTTTTTTTGGATGCTCTGCTATACTTTAGGGTAGCTTTCCTAAACAGCTATTACAATGGTAAAGATAGTAATTTTCCATCGTCAGTTGTATTGTCCATACACGTATTAAAACTCATTCCTCACGCCTCCCCCAACCTAAGAAAAATAATAATTTAGCATTAAAAGTTACAATGGACTCCACATCTCTCTCCTTAAAGACATACTAACTTATTATCTTAGACAATTTCTTTATTCGATCCTGCTGACTCTATATTTTACTTAATCTTCAAAACCAGCGAGCACTTTGACATTTTCTGTTTATTTTATAAATGATACCCATACCTTTAAACATAAACTCGAAAGGATGTATCACTTTGGATTATTTATTTTACATTCAGAAAGGTACCTCCAAGGTTCACTGCACCAACTATATGGAACCCATCAGCCCTCAATACATCTTGCCCTATATTTTAAGAACAAAAGATAGGATTTGCTGGATCTGGATAATAGGCGTAAAACTCTTAGCGGTGGCATGGTGGGTTAAGCCACTGAGCTGCTGAATTTGTTAACCAAAAGATCGCAGGTTCAATTCCGGGGAGTGATGTGAGCTCCTGCTGTTAGCCCCAGCTTCTGTTAACCTAGCATTCCGAAAACATGCAAATTCGAGAAGATCAATAGGTACCGCTCTGGTGGGAAGGTAAGGGTGCTCCATGCAGTCATGCTGGCCACATGACCTTGGAGGTGTCTACTGACAACACCGGCTCTTCAGCTTAGAAATGAAGATGAGCACCAACCCCCCGAGTTGGGCCTAATGTCAGGGGAAAACCTTTACCTATACTTTTAAACAGTTGTCAGCTGACTTCTCCTTTATAAAACAAATTTCCTATGTTATTATTATTACTACTACTACTGCTGCTACTACTACTACTACATTATATACATTCAGGATAGTATTAGTATTACAGTCGGCCCTCCATATCCACAGATTCTGCATCCATAGATTCCACCAATTACGAACTTTGCCATTTTATACAAGGGACATCATTTTACTCTGCCACTGTAGATCATGGGTCTTGAGCATCCATTGATTTTGGTCTTAATAGAGAGTACCCCATGTTACAGTAAGTTGTAACACGATCAAGCATGTGTGTGTGTTAACGAAAACCTTATAGTGTTGATTATTGTGTGCAGCTGCCAATGTAGGTCAACTAGTAAGTTTGGACCACATCCGGTGGGGTATAACTGTATGGGTTTTAGAATACAGTTCAGCTTTTGCTCTGAGGAGCATTTGCTCAGGCATTTTGCTCAACCATTTTGACTGCTCTCTCATTTGGATGAAGATGAAGAAGCCTTATTCTGTATTAATTACAAGGAGTATGTCAGTTTGTTGCACTGTTTGTTTTTGTTTGCAACATTGCAAGTTTATGTTTTAACTCTGCTGATAGGAATAAAGTTTTTCAGTTCTTTCTTTCTCTTGCCTACGTGCAATGTTTTTGTGTCTTCTGCAATGGACCTGACTGAAACACGCTATGCGCAACACCCCAAATGGATACTAAGAGTGCAGTTTATTTTGAAAAGATTGTCGCTGTGTAGTGGCACACAACACAGCTCCCAAATTTAATGCAAATTAATGTTAAATAGATGCCCCGCCACCATACATACAGAGGTTCATTTATTACAGACAAACTGACCTGAGGTTCATTTATTTCAAATACTCAGTCCTCTGCTAATTGCTTTCCTGGTTTTCAAGGACAACCGGCGAATGTGCCAAAAAGGCTATCTCCATTAATTCAAATGCATTCAGAATGTCCTCTTCCCTCTCTCTCTTCCCTTTCACACACACTTCAAACAAAGCAATGAATGGCTCTTTAAATGGTCTGGAAGCTCTTGAGAGCAATCTCTATGTGCATTACACAACACATGGCCATCCACGCATTTGCTCAGCTGGCGGGTCTTGCAAGAGTTCCTCTGGCCGCAATTTCGAAACACAAACACTTCAAAAATACACCCCAAAGCCACATACAGTATATTCCGCCCCGCCACTTTGTTTGTAGATAACTTCCCAGTATCTTCTCATCATTAAGTCTGCTCTGCTAAAGAAAACTATTATTATTATTATTATTATTATTATTATTAGGAGCATTTCTATCCCGTCCTTCTCACCTCTGAAGAGGAACTCAGAACGGCTACCAACAGGCACCATTTGGTGCCGAACTATAAAAACAATGCATAATATACACTTTAAAAAGGTAAAGGTTTTCCCCTGACATTAAGTCCAGTCGTGTCCAACTCTGGAGTGTGGTGCTCATCTCCATTTCTAAGC